TGCTCCCTTTAGCAGTGTGTTTCAGTCAGTGTTCCTGTTCTGCTCCCAGCTCTGTCTCTGGTGAATCCTCTCACCTCCTGCATCTCTGGCCCGTACCCCAGCTCTTGTATGCATAAATAAATAAATCTTAAAAAAAAAAAAAGAAGTCTTTAAAAATAGCAGCCAACTACATTGGGTGGGCTGTGCTTCGGTCCTGGTTTCAACAAACTCATTGTAAAAATATCTTTAAGACAATTAGGGAAACTTGAATAAGGATGATGTTAAAGAATCATTGTTGGTTTTATTAGGTGTGATAAGGACATGGTGGTTACGTTTTTTTAAAAATCCCATGTCTGTTAAACACATGTATGTACTGGTGAAATGACGTGGTATCTGGGATTTGCTTTAAAATACTCCAAATAAAGGGTTGATGGTAGATAAGCGATTGAAAAAGTTTGATAATTGTAGAAGCAAATGATGGGTGTATACTTTAATTCATCCATATATATTTTTTAAAGATTTTATTTATTATTATTATTTTTTTAAGCTTTATTTATTTATACAAGCACTGGGTACAGTCAGAAGCACAGGAGGGTGAGAGAATTCACCAGAGCCAGAGCGGGGAGCAGAGCAGGCAGACTGACAAAATACACTGCTGAGGGGAGCAGCGGGCGGCAGGAGAGGTCTGTGCGCCATGTGGGACCCTTGCTGGGCGGCCGGGAATTGAACCAGCGCTGCAGAGGCTGCGGGCAGCTTCGCAGCCCCGCGCTCAACCACTGCGCCACCGGGGAGGCCCCTAATTCATCCATATTAACAGCAATGAAGGGGGTTGGAAGAGTAGGGGAGAAAAGGGTGAAGGAGAATGAGGCGTGGGAGAGGAAGCTGCGTGTTCCCTCCCCATCAGTGGTTTCCCTCTGGGATGGAGCAGTCTGCTCACCAGCCTGTGTGCCTGATGCAGACTCCCACCACGCCACCAAGGGACAGCCTTTCCACTGTAGTGATGGCACCAAGGCAGCAGTATAGGGTAGTGGGGAGAGTTGATGGCTGACATCACACCCCTTCATTCAAACCTTGGATGACATCTGTGCCTGGGTCCTACCTCCTACAAAATAGAAATAAAGGGCCTCCCTGGTGGCACAGGGGTTAAGTCTCAGCACTTTGAAGCTATCAGCAGCCACTGCAACATGAGTTCCATCAATGCACAGCTGGGGAGCTGACCCACATGGTGGAGCAGACCTCTCCTGTCTCGCCCGCTGCTCCCCTCAGCAGTATATTTCAGTAGATCTGCCTGTTCTGCTCCCTACTCTGTCTCTGTGAATCTTCTCACCGCCCCCCACCTCTGGCCTACACCCCAGTTCTTGGGTGCATGAATAGTAAAGTTTATGCATAAATAAATACAAATAAATTTAAAAAATAGAAATAAAGGTAACAATAGTACCAACTGATTAGGCTGCTGAAAACTTTAATGAAGTGCTTAAAGTGAAGATGGCACCAAGTAAGGACTCAACAAAGGTTAGCTGATTTCATCACCGCTGATACAGATGGTCTTCTCCCCCACCTTCCCCACCCACTACAACTCGGTGATCTAAGTGTCCTGTCTCTTGCTTCCCAGCATCTCCTTGGCTACACACCCCATTCCAGGGGAATGTTAAAAGTCACATCAAGTCCTTTGGCCAAACCATGCCTATTAGCTTTTACATGCCTCTTCTATCCAAATTAAATTCTTTTCATGGTGTTTGTCAGAAACAATTTGATTAATCCTTTTGGTTTGGTCGAAGAGCTCTCTTTTCAAGTAAGAATTTGCCAAACCCCTCCAGCCTTTCCTTATACAGTTGATGACAGAAGCCATGTGAGGTGATTTTCAGGGGGACCTCATGTCTGTTCCTTCCAGAACATGAGTCTCCTCTGCCATCTGTATAAGATAGGGCACCTCTGATTTATGAACTACTCTGTCGACAGGCAGCCCAGGCTTTGCACCACAGCTGTGCTGCAGCCCAAAAGCTCATGAGGGGCATTGAAAGGAATACTTTCCTGGCAACCCACATAGCAGCTCCTTTACTATTTACAGGGCAGGTAACTTACTAGTTGGTTGACATTTGATGGCACAATCAAGCCCTTTCGGGGCTGTCCCTGGATTCGAGTGTGCAGTGTTTGTGAGTAACTTTCTTCAATGTTTTTCATGCCTGTGGAGAAAGACCATTGCTATGAAGCTGTCTGTGCTGGAGTTGGGGCAGATTTAGCTATAAAATCTGGCATCGATGGAGCCCTTTCCCAGGTGCCAGGAGCTGAATCGAGATCCTTAGATGAGGGAGCACATTTGTCCTCACAACAGTCCTGCAAAATAGTGCTATCATTATGCCCATTTTACAGTCAAGAAAACTGAACTACAAGGCAGCTGGTCCAAGGTCACCCATCTGGGAAGTGGTAGAGCCAGACTTGGAAGTCAAGTCATTCAGCTGCAGAGCCTAAGCTCCTTGCAGCCCATCCTGTCTTGACCACAGCCACCGACCACAGCCACAGCCAGGGCCGGCGACACTCCACTCTGACTTGTATGGTTTCCCTGCTGGCATCTAACTGATTGGATCAGACCATTTTCTTGTTGATTGTGATGACGATGTTTGTTCGCTTGTTTGTTTGGGTTAGTTGGTTCACTGGTTCATTGGTTATTTGATTCATTGGTTGTTTCTTTTGAGTGGATGAATTAATGTCTGGCTGTCATGTGTCAAACTTCTTCATGTTCATTACCTTATCTCCCAATAATTCCATGGCATACAGATTACTCTTCCTAATTTATAGAAACTCAAACAAGACCTAACACTTACTCAAAGCCACACTGCTAGTGTTTAGACAAAATTCAGAAAGCCTGAGTTCCCAGTGGCTATGGTGAAGAACTTTAGTTCATAGATCAGGGACCGTGGCCAATAGCCCCAAACTTCCACCAGGCGATTCAGAGAGAAGGCGGGTGCCACAACAGAGCAGGGTTCTCCCAGAAGAGATCGACGGGACGAGAGCCACAGGAAACCTGCTTCTGCTCGTTGTCACACTGCCTGTGCAGCCCTGACCTGCAGGCACCAGGACAGGAGGAAAATCATCTCCCCTTCCAAAATCTGCCTTGACGATGGATTAGATTATGGTTGTAAAGTGCTTTGAAGAGAAGTGATGTAGGAAATACACTGTATTTGGGTTGATTCTGAGGGGACTTCAGATGAGATTAAGGCCAATGAATGGGTCTGGTCTGCTCGTGTTGCTGGGCTGCTTTGTGTGAGAAAGGAATTATTTCCAAAAGCATGTCTCCTAGAGTTGCTGCCAAAGCCATCCAGCTCTGCTCCACGCCCAAGCACGCCTTCCTTCCGCACGGCTGTCACACAGGGGAAAAGGAAACTTACACATTCAGTTCACCAGCAGACCGGTCCATGAAATGTTGATTTGTACTTAGACATCAAAGTGTGACTTCTGTGAAAAGCAATTACCAAATGATTGAGAACATGACCCCATTATGTAAGTGTTATTGAGAGGGAAGAAGAAACTGAGATGAGATTTATCATCAAACTGGATAATCAGGATATAAAGAACTTTCTAGGACATTTAGTTCATCCTCTTCCATGGTCAAGTTTATTCCTCCCCTTCCAGACCACTTTCCTGTTGAAGTCAAGTGGTTGCTCACCTATGTCTGAACACCTATACCCACTGGACAGGCTGTATATGAAATACCAGTTAATGAGGAAAATAAAGAAATACCTCATAGAAGTTCGCCAATATTTCCGGCAGAAATATTCCTATCCCAAACAACCCAAATGCCCAAAAATGGATGACTGGATTAAGAAGATGTGGTATATATACACAATGGAATATTATTCAACAATGAAAAACGAAAAACTCATGCCATTCACAGCAATGTTGATGGAGCTACAAGGAATTATGCTCAGTGAAATAAGCCAGAAGGGGAAAAAAATATCAGATGGTTTCACTTATAGCAGGAATATAGGGAAACCAAATAAGACATCTGTAAAAAAATAACGACAGTACAAAACACAACAAAGCAAAAACAGACAATTATCAATCAGAGACATCCTGCAGGGGAGGAGGCAGGAGAGGGATCAGAGGGAGGGAGGGAGGCGCACAGGGGACCGAGGTGATGGTGCACAGGTGCATTGGTGAAGGAAACTCTATGGGGACTACACCTGAGGGGGTGAGGGGAAGCAAATATTGTTTAAAAATGAACCATGATGTAAAAAATAAAAAAGTTAATTAATAAAAAAAGAAATATTCCTATCCCAAGCCATGGGCAATATTAGCTTGGGAACTTTGAAAGTTAACTTAATAATAGACTCTATTCAGGACATCGTAGGGAAACAGGAGCTATCACACATGGTGGAAGGTAAAATGGCGCAACTTGAGAGAGAATATAGAAATGTTTGTGCTGGAAATATTGGCAAACTTCACTCTATTCACAATGAAAGTGCATTTAATCTTTGACCTGGGAATTTATCCTACATAGACACCAGCAGAGGTCAGAAATGAGATGTCTATAGTGTTATTCACTGCAGCATGGCTTACAATAGTCTCAGGCTGGAAAGCACCAATATGTGCACAATGTACATAAAGTGGATCTGATTAATTAAAGTGGCACAGCTCCTCCCAGTACAATATCACACAGTGCGGAGGTTAAAGAGAAGATGAACTCTCTCCCTATAACATGGCAAGCTCTCCAAGCTACATTGTAAAGGAAGAAGTGGAAGATGTTAAACAGATTACATAGAGTGTGATATGTTCTGTACAATAAAAGGTGAAAAAGATCATACAGGAATATTTGCTTATATGAGCAAATAGTGTAAGAATACATGAGAAATTAAAACAGCAGTTTCTTTCTGGGGAAGGTGAGTGAGGTGGTGAACAGGAACGGGACTGATTCCTCAGAACTTCACTTTTTCTAACCTTATTTTTAACTACATGCACTTGTTGCCTATTTTAAAACATACACCCACACAAATAAACATAAGCAAAGCAAAATTAGTCTTGAATTTTATGGAAGAAAGTGAGTAGATCAAAGTATCCCACTTACTAAGGGGTCTCCTGAACTTTCTTTCTTCAATGCTCCTCCCTCATTCAGCTTCCAGCTCAGGGGTCCCAGGCTCTGGCATCCTCTCTCCTCCCCATGGCAAGAGGAGACCCTGCGCCCTCTCCAACTCGGGCCTTCCTGATTGCAGCTTTCCCATGAGAGGGTTGAAAGAGTCTTCCTGTGCTCCATCTCACAATAATTAGATCTCCAGATACAACCTATTAGAAAAAGTTTTAAATATATGGCCTTAAGACAACATAACTTCAATCCATACCAAGTGGCAAAAATAAAGTCTATAAAAATAATTATCTTTCTTGAAAGTCAAAAGGTACATGTTACATTATTTAAATAATATTAAGTAATGGGTTTTGTATTACCTGTGTCTCTGATGATTTAACAGTGGGATTTAGGTAACCCTGGAGAGACTGTCCCTCCCAGGACTATTCAATTCCCACTGACACTTAAGTTAACTAATAAACTAGCAGCCTACTGAGCACACCTTTCATATGCAAACCAATGATTCCAAAGTCCAGATCCAACCACCTCCATTTTGGGGCTGGTAAACTCTGGACCAAGATCTCCCTGCCCTAAAAACTCTAGGGCAAGGTATCAGCTACTAGAGACATCCAACATCCTGGAACCCACTGATAGTATTCAAACTAGCCAATCCTAATCCACTTACATGACTTTACTCATTCCTCACTGCAGAAAACACAGAAAAGTCTCCTGCCCATGTTCTCCTCTCCCCCCACCTGTCTCCTGACTGACACTGTTGCTTCCCTATATGATCCCCCCATGGGGTGATGTGCACCCTCCTCTTGGGAACTGTAACCATCTGACATTCAGTGACAATCATCTCCGGATCTACTGGGTTCGCCAAACATGAACAATAATAAAGTCTACATTTTATTTAATTTTTTTAAAGATTTATTTTATTTATACAAGAGCTGGGGTACAGGCCAGAGGCGCGGGAGGGTGAGAAGAATCACCAAAGACAGAGCGGGGAGCAGAACAGGCAGACAACCGAAAACACTGCTGAGGGGAGCAGCAGGCGAGACAGGGGAGGTCTGCAAAGCCATGAGGGAATCTCCCTGGCTGGCCGGGAATCAAAACCGCGCTGCAGAGGCTGCGGACAGCTTCACAGCGCTGTGCTCAACCCACAGTGCCACCGGGGAGGCCCAAAGCCTACATTTTAAAACAGCTTTATATGAGAATGGCATTTATTGAGAAAAAGTTCTAGAATCACTTGGTTAAATTTCAGTTCAAGAACTGGCCCAAGAAGAGACAATGCACCAAATCTGAATGCATTAGGAAGGTCAGTCTTTCTAGGAAAGCATAAAGGTTGGCACTCCACGGTGCAGATTTTCTGAGAAATCCACAGGCACGTCACAACAGTTCCGAGGCACTGCCAGCACATCTCTCTCCTGCATGATCTAATTTGTTCTTGAACAAAAACACAGTGTGGAAGGTGTGGAAATGAAGGTTTCTTAAGGTAATTTGTAGCTGTACAATAGCAAATACAGTGTACATAATATTCATTTTAAGCAAATGTTTTACACAGCATTTGAATCAAGCTAAGTTGAAAAAGCAGGAAATTAGCTAACTTCAGCTACAAGTGAAATAGCTACATATAAAGAAACTTCAGCAGGAATACATCATATGTTAGTCAGATGAATTAATTTATTTCTGATAGATTAAAACATATAAATGTCCCTCCTCAAAAAATAAGTAAAGCAAAGGAAAACCATAAAGTTTTAGTGTTCAAAAGGTGCAGTCATTTTAGTGGGGAAACTCGTGATTTGGGGTGTGGAGTGACTCAAAATCATCATGAATGTGTTATAAAGGCTTGAGAGTGCTACCAGTAACCATAGCTACCATGTCAACCACCTACCGTGCCAGGAGTTGGACTGAATTGCTCATAAGTCTCATCTCCTTCAATTCTCCTAACAACCCTTGGACTGTTTTAGAGGCTCCATTTCAGTGGATGGGAAACTAAGGCTCTGTATAAGTTATCTATTGCTACTTAATAAATTCCCCCCAAATTTAGCAACTTAAAGCAACAATAAACTTATGTTTTATCTCGCACAGTTCTATGGGTCAAGAATTTGGGGACAGCTGAGCTGTGCAGTTCTGGTTCAGAAATAAATTGTAGTCATCCAAAGGCTTGATTAAAGATGGAGGACTTGCTTCCAAAATGGCTCCCACATGGCAGGGAATTGATTGCAGTTGACAGGCAGGAGAACTCAGTTTCTCACCACGTAGAGCTCTCCACAGGGCTCCTTGTATCCCTGTGACTTGGCAGGTGGCTTGCTCTGGAACCACTGATGGAAGAGAGTCAAAGGCAGAAGCTACCATGTCTTTTTATGACCAGACTCAGAATTATCCTCAATAGCCAGTTGGTTATATGGCCCAGTCCTATTTAGTGTTGGAGGGGTACACAAGCGCAGGAATGCCAAGAGGTGAGAATCATGAAGACCATCTTGAACCCACAAATTTAAGTAATCTTCTTAAGATCACACAGCTAATTTCAAATTCTGCCTTACTCCAAAACCAACATTCTTTCCCCTGTACAACTGCCTCCCCAAAACCTCCATACGTGACATTGCCAGATGAAGACAAAAGGTCCTGGGTAAGCCACATCCCTGTTTCATTGTTTTTGCCAAAAGTTTTATCTTCAATCTGCTGGGAAATATTTTTTATATTGAGAGCATAACTCAGGCTTTCTAAGGGGAATTGATGAAAAATCATTTTTACTTTATTGACTGTGTGTGCCCTAAACCAAATTTGCTGAACCTCATTTCTGGCTAGTCCTTTATTAAAAAAGATAATAAGGGATGGCTGTATTAACAGAGAACAAAATATTTCCAGGTTGCAGACCATTTGGTGATCATTCCTATCTGTGAGAGTCGAACTGAATAGATTCAAATCTCTGCTGTGTGAAGAGGTGATTGAGGGGCATTTTTATTTTCCTGAATAACAGGAAATCCACAATTTATTCTTTAGTAATAAAAACTGCATGTGTAAGAATTGAGACCATCAAGGGTCAACTCAAATTAAAGATTTTATGACGGGCGGTTTTATTAAATCTTTTCAACAATTTATAGAAAGGATTTGAAATATGTCAAACATATTTCTTTAAGATTTTTTAAGTGAGAGCTTTTATTGCAGCGAGTCACAAAATCAGGAGAAATATTGCTCTTAGGTCATCCAGTCCTGGCCCCTGCCAATGTCAGTCTGCTCCCGTTAAAACCAAAGACCGGGAATTAAGTTGTCTGAAGTCAACCTCTTCTAATTAAAATGAAAGTCATAAAGCAAAGTATTTCAATAATCTACAATAATAATTCCAAATTTATATAGTGTATGTATCCAAGAAACATTAAGCAGGTCACATTTTTTATTTCTCTTACCTGGAAACAAAAACTAAAGTCCCCTGGAAGGTCTAAGGGAACATTCATTAACTTAAATATTTATAGAGTAAATGAATGTGTATGTGTGTGCACGTGCCTGTGTGTGTACTTACATGTGTATTGGGATAAGGGAGAAGAAAGTGACATTTACTGAGCACCTTGTGTGCACCAGGCTTTGAACTAGGTCCAGTGGACCCAAACATGAATAAAGCCCTTCAAAGAGGGACACAGCACACAGGGGATAAAGAAGCCCCCGGGCTCTGGACCCAACAGCTGGACACAGAGGAGACTTCGTATTTTTTTACAAAGAAAGAACTGGCGTAGTTGTAAAGGCTCAGGTACTGCTGGCTCCATGAGATCACTCATCATTTATCTTTCAGTAATAGCTTTAATCTTGAATCTTGAGACTCCAGACAGAAAAGCACTTGACAAAGTGCATAGCACCACATAGGTGGGCCTCTCCAGGTAGACGCGCTCCCTGGGGATGGACAGATCCATTTCTGAACCCAGCAGCTCCCCAAGCACCTGGCACTGGTTCTCCCAAAGTCCAACCATAGATCAACGTATATACTTCATGCCAAAAAGAGAGGGAAGGCAAAACTCCCCATTTTTCCAGGTGTGAGAAGGAACAACTTTTTGAGGTTCATAGAACTTTTGAAACTTTCAATTTTTAATACATACAAAAGAATGTGTGTAATATTTGATGGTTATGAAGCATTACTAATAAAAACAACCATCTGGGAGCATGTCATGGTGCCAAAAAGCAAGGAAGAGCTCACAGAAGGATAGACATGATTTCAAAAGGACACAGAAACCAGCTTTAAGGGACTCTTGTAGCCAAGTTTCTCCAAAAGCACCCCCTACCTCTGTCTCCCACATAGTCTTCCTGCACGGCCTTGGGGGCTCTCAGGGCTACTCTTGGAACATGTCAAGTTTATTACCACCTCAGCCTCTTTGCTATTGCTGTTCAGCTGGAACATTCTTCCCTCAAGTCTTTCACATGTTTTTTTTTTTTTTTTAAGGATTTATTTTATGCATTCAAGAGCTGGGGTACAGGCCAGAGATGCAGGGGGTGGAGGATTCACCAGAGACAGAGTGGGGAACAGAACAGGCAGACTGATCGAAATATACTGCTGAGGGGAGTAGCGGGCGAGACAGGAGAGGTCTGCTGCGCCGTATGGGTTTCTCTGGCCGTCCAGGAATTGAACTCGTGCTGCAGAGGCTGCCAATCATTTCATAGTGCGGTGCTTAACCCCTTGCGCCACTAGGGAGGCCCTCACATGGTTTCTTTGAGTTCTGTCCTCACTCACCATTCTGCTTTAATGTCACCTTGCACAAAGGGCTTGCCTAGACCACTCCATCCTTAATCGGCACCTTCACACTTTTGAGCTCCTAGGTGATCTATCTTTATTCATAGCACTCCCCACTAGTTAAAGTTGTCTCTCCTTGAAAATATATTTTTACTTACTTGTTTACTCAATATCTATCTACTCCGCTGGAAGGAAAGCTTCAAGAGAGACAGGTGCATCCCCACATCTAGAAGACTGCCTTGTCTAAAGTAGGGGTTCAAAAGCTATTTATGGAACCAGCCTATTCATGATGGCCTGGAATTGAGGTAGTCTCTTCCTTAGAGTTCACTTAGTAGATTTTTGTAATACAAAGACTATGCAAGATTTAGTATTGGGTTTATTTCACTACTTCTTGTCATACCAGTGCTTTGCGGGGCAGAGTATCCCAGCACTCTAGGCTCATAGACGCTTCATTCCACAGCCTCATCAGAGATTCTGGACTGGCTCTGTAATTTCAAGCTGACCTAATGACTCAATTTAGCAGCAGTGATTCCAGACACCTGCACTACACTGAACCACGCACACCAATTATCCTTTCTGTTTCTCCCAGATCAGCCGAATGACTGTGAGTGAATCCCTTTAGAGAGACCAGAATCTCATGCCCCCGCCCAATCTTTTCCAAACTGGGCCAGGGATCTGATAAACCCGTTCGCACGGTGGACATATCATAGCAGAGTGACAAGGCGTCAGACGCCTGTTTCCACCCCCTGCTCACCAGCTACGTGGCAAGTTTGAGCTTTCAGAATTAAACTGGGCAGAAAAAAAGGAGCTGGGGACTCCCCATTCCGCTCCCTGCGGAGCCTCATCCCTCGCATCTCTACATGAGAGCTGCCCGAGTCCGCAGGCCTCCCGGCTCAGAAGGAAGTCTGGGTCCCGGTCTTTCCTCCCCCTCCAGCCCTCTCCCTGCGCCTCGCACCCCCAAAACCCCTTCCCGCCTGCAGTGAGCGCTGCGTCTGCCCCGAACATTTCAGGCACCCTGGGCCCGCCCACTCCCGTCGGCCCCTGCGGGCCACCGCGTCTCCATGGAAACAAAGGTACCGGCTCTGCGCTGCGGCTTCCGCTCCGCCTAGAAGGCTACGATCTGGGACCGTGTTGTCGTGGGCTCTCCGGGCCATCGGGAGTCTGTCGGCGATGCTCAAGGCCAAGATCCTCTTCGTGGGGCCCTGCGAGGTGAGGCCAGGGCCGGCGCGGCGCGGGGTGGGGTGGCTAGCGGGGCCCAGGCGAGCGCGGGGCGCCCCGGGACTCTGCCAGGTGCCGGGAGGCCCGCGAGAAGCAAGAACCCTGCGGCACCGCGCCCACCTGCTGTGCGACCCTGCCACACGGTCAGCTCGGTGCTTCCAGACTTTGACCGGTTTTACTGAAACCCAAACCCAAGGTAGTGAGGGACAGTATGGAGCCAGAACCTAATCTCACGGCTTTTTCCTTTGCACCCGAGGTTGTGCCTAAGGAATATGTCTGTGGGACAGGAAAGCCAGGAGGAAAGACTAGAATATTCTGTGGTCTTGGAACAATTAGCTATTAATAGATGGGAGGTGGTGGTAGTGGGGATTAAATCGTTATCTACTTCACGCCATACATAAAAATAAAATTCACTTGGACTAAAGCTAAACGTATAAGAAAAACTGTGGATATAATAGATGAATATTCTCCAACTTCAGAACGCATCAGAGTCACCTGAAGGATTGTTAAAATATAAATTCTTGGGTCCAACCCCCAGAGTTTTGGCTCAGTCGGGCCTGAAAAGACCTGTGAATTCACATTCTGCTGATGCTGTTCTTCCAGAGACCACATATTGAGAACCACTGTAGTGGATCAATTTATGGAAACGTACTTTTTTGATCTTGAGATAATGAGTTCTTCATAAGCACAACACAAAAATGAAGACATCAGAAGAAATGGCAGGAAAGTTAAAACCTGGGGAAAGTGCAAAATGCAACACAAAGAATTGATAGGTAGAACACACACAAGATACATTTAAAGATCAGTAAAGAGAAACAACTCAATAGAAAATTGCACAATAGCAGACAAGAAATACAATTGTAATTAAGTATGAGAGGCTGCTCAGGCTCACAGTCACTGGAACACAAATTAAAAAGAGGGCACTTACCCATCAGATTGGATGAGAAAAGTTAAGACAATAACATATTTGTAGGGAAATGAGTACCCTAGATTCTGTTGATGGGGCTATATGTTGATAACATCTATTTTGGAGATCAGATTATCAAAATTTAAAATGTGCATACCCTTTAGTGGGGTATTTACAGTCTCTGGATCTACTGTAGCTACTAAATACTTTGTCAGTGTTCCACATTGATTGTGTACAATGTTGAACAGTTGGAAACACTGAAGTGTCCACCAAGAAGAGAATGCCTAAATAAAGTAAGGTACATTTTACTTGGAAAAGTGTGCAACAGGTAAACAAAAAGGTCAGGTCTTTATGTACTAACATAGAAAACTCTCCAAACTATTAAGTGAAATTGGCAAGTAACGACACTATGCATAGAATTATGAAAAGCAAAGCAAGCATAGATATCTTTTTTAAATGGAAATTCTCAAACATAAACAAAGGGAGAAAAAAAAGCAATGAATTCCTAGTACCCAGCTTCAACAAGAAAATACACTTCTGTAAAAATAATGACACATTTCTGCATATTCATAGCTCCCTCTTCCTCATTACTTTTCAAACTTAACAACCTTTCTATTCCTTTAACATGCTGTTCCTATTTCCTGCCCCAGTGCCTTTGCTATTCCTTCTGCTTTAAAGTCTTGGTTGGCTTGTCATTTAAACTTCATCTATTCAGCCTTCTCTGACCACCCAATTCAGTGTCTTTATCACATCACCCTGCTTTATTTTTATCCAGTGCTTATCACTGCCTCATCATTATTCAACAGCCTGTGGTAAAAGGTAGATAGATATACCTCGGGTGCATGACTAATGCAATTTCTTCATTTCCCATAAGAACTCTCCCCTCTAAGTACATTGGGCAATACACACACACATATACACATGTGTATGAATGTATATAAACTTTAAGGGCTTAGATGAAATATACACTTTTATAATTTTTTATGTATTGAGGTACATATAGAGGTACATTAAGGTATATATTAATTTGGAAATGCTGTTTTTATTCCATTTTTGCACTTCTTGCCACTTTTTAGTCAAGCTCCTCATCTGTACCTATGAGCCTATGTTATCTTTGTGAGTGAATCACCTGTCAGAGCTCATCATCTAAGTGATTTAAATGCAGCTCTTTTTGAATCTGAGTATGGCCCTGTCCCTGGAAATATATCCCAACTACGGAACTGTCCCTATAACCCCAGGCCATTTTTTTTATTCATTTATCCTACACATAAATACTCATAGTCTCCATAAACATAACCACTTGCTGTGTTATTTTTAAGGATATTAATCTGTGAGGCCACATCCACAGGCTAAGTCCCCCTTCTTTTTTTTCCCTTCTGATTGTGTCACGTGACCACTGTAGGTTAGGTCCCAAGCCCCCCAGCCTGGCATTGATTAAGGTCCTTCTAGTCAAGCAGTGGTTCCAAATAGAGGAAGTCAGAGAGTAGGGCATGCTTTGAGAAATTTTTATAAGGACTCAAATGCAAGAGATTCCTGTTCTTCTGAGGAATAATTTGGGGAAAAAAAAAAAAACTTGTTTTATATTCAGGCATATACAGCATTTGTTAAATGAAATGAATGATGCAAATGTATAGTAAATATCTGAAAAACAGATCATACTTGTTACCTTGGGGAGGGAATGGGATGGATGAACAGATGGAGGTTTTGGGTAGAAGAGTCAGGATGCTCTTTTCATAACTTTTTTTTACATGAATGCATCTTGTATTATCTAGAAGTGAAACAGTGCTATGTGAGTGTGGCACAGCCAACCGGGAGTTCCCAGACCAGGGACCCAGGTCTGACTTTGAACTTCTGTGTGACCTTGAACTGCCTTCCCCTTTCTGGGCCTCAGTGGCTTCATTTCTGTGACAGATGGTGGTTTTTTGAAGATAGGCGAGAAGCAAGTGAGAATAGAGATGCAAACTAACAATTTTTTTTCCATTGTTTTCAGGTTAACTGGGAGCCAGTGGGGGCCCTCACTGTGGGTAAAGCCCCCAGCAGCAGAGCCAGCACTGGAACCCCTATTCCCCAGGTTCCACCACAGTACAGCCAGGTCCACCCAGCCAAACAGCCCTCTGCCCTGGCATCTTGGAGCGGCTGTGGACTATTAATAAGCTAGCTATCATTGGGCTCATTGATGGTTTACTTTTCTACTCTTCAGCAAATATCTTTTTTTTTTTTTTTTTACCTTCTTGTTTGACTAATTTACTTTTTCATTCCTTGCTTTTAGTCTACTTGAACCTCCAGCAGAAAACAAATTCAACTCCAGCATAATTCAAATGTGAAACATGTTATTTCATAAAATATTGTTCTGTTTGTGTCCCACCCCACCTCACCCCTCCTCCCCTTTCTGATTTTTACTGAAAGAAAAGGAAATGTGGATGGTTTCATTCTAATTATACTGTCATTAAATGACTAATGATTTGGTCACAAACGTATGGGCAAAGCTCTGTAAGAAAGCAATGATTAGAACCAATGACTTTCTTTCAAAAAGTATGTTCTGTTTTGAAATTTAATCAGTGAATAAAATTTTATTCTGTTATTTTTTTCTCTTTCCTAAGAATTCTCTCCATTATGGAAAGAAAACCTCCAGACTCCTTTCATTTTTCTTTCCCAGCACTGTGGATTTCGTTCTTTTTCCCATTTCTTCAGCAAATATCTTTTATCATCTCCCTATCCACAGAGTGGTAAAACTGTTTTGGCCAACTTCCTGACAGAATCTTCTGACATCACAGAATATAACCCAACCCAAGGAGTGAGGTGAGCTCTGACAACTCTGTGTCCCAGAGAGTGCCTCTCCATCACCCACCCCCTATTTTTGGTGTCACACCCAAAGTATAACATTTCCTAAGTAGAGGTGCTGCTCTTGTTTTTATTTTTAGGATCCTGGAATTTGAAAATCCACACGTTACCAGCAACAACAAAGGCACAGGGTGTGAATTTGAACTATGGGATTGCGGTGGCGATCAAAAGTACGTTTCCTTAAGATGGGTTTGTTTCCTCAATGATTCAATGGTGCCACCAGGCACCTGGGACTTAAGCCTGGCATGGCTCCTAGTGTGCATCAGGGTCCTGATCAATTATTTGGTGACATATGTTTCTCATTAAGCTTTAGTGATTAGGTTATGCTATAATGAGATGTCACCCATCCGTTCATGAATACTAAGATATTGTTTTTAAAGTCCACCATCAGAAACCAGGGCCATTGAATATTCACTCTGAATCTGTTTCTGCCCTCTAGGTTCGAGTCTTGCTGGCCAGCCCTGATGAAGGACTCCCACGGAGTGGTGATTGTATTCAATGCTGACCTCCCCAGCCACCTGAAAGAAATAGAGATGTGGTATTCCTGCTTTGTCCAGCAGCAGTTCTTACAGGACACCCAGTGCCTGTTAATTGCACATCACAAACCAGGCTCAGGAAGTGATAAAGGAAACCTGTCTTTGTGTAAGGAGACCGGATCTTTCTGCTTTTGTCTTAAATGTTTTCAGTATTTGTACATTGCTCTGTGTCTGGAAACCAGCAGCTATGAACAGTTATTAAGCACCTCCTGTGTCCTAGGCATTTGTTTTTCTTATGATGTAAATCAAAATTGCCAGGCTGGAAGAATTGTCTTACCATCCAGGCCAAGATATAGATGCTCTAAAAGCAGCCAGATGCTAAGGGGAAAATGCCTGGTTTTAGCCACTCAGCAGTATTATCAGGGACAAGGCGAACCTCCAGTTTGCATGTGACACCCACCATCACAGTGTGAGCATGGAAAACAACTCACAGTGTTCAGAATTTTTTTCCTTTCTGGTATGAGAACAAAGAGGACCCAGGAATGTCTTGTAGAATAATATCCTATTGCCAAGTGGCAGTATGGTGAAACTGGCCTCTTAAATTCTGTCAAACAAGACACAGCTTTCTTTTGGGAACTTAGAAAGTTTTAACAAATTGGCATCTATAAGTTTCTGATCACTTGAGGATAGAAATGGCCCTTATTCAAAGTATATGTCTAATTTACTTTACTTTGCTTTTTAAGCGCCACCTTTGAACAGGCTGAAGCTAGTGCACTCGAATCTTGAGGATGATCCTGAAGAGATTCGGATGGAATTCATCAAATATTTAAAAAGCATAATCAACTCAATATCTGAGAGCAGAGACCGGGAAGAGATGTCAATTATCACCTAACTTCCTTTGTCTCAATTCCTCCACATCCTGAAAAAGGTCAGCCTCTTTCCCAGAGCAGATCTCAAATCTTACCCAGCTACTGATGTTTTCTTCTCACCATGACCCTGAGGGTTTCCTACTGAAAGGTATCAGTCAGCCAGGGAGTTGACTCACACTACTTATTCTCCGTCCTTTGTTCAGTTGAGAAGATTCTATTGTCAAATTCTGATTCCTTTGCTCCAGATCTCTCCCAAGAGTTGGAAAATTGAAGGTTCCCCCCGCTTCATATATATTGTTATGATAATTATAGAGTTATAACTGTCATAGCCCAGTGATACAAAAGTAGCTTCATCTGTGATTATTGGTTTGAGTGTTTTTCATTCCTTAATTTATTCAACAAATACCAACTTGTTGAGCATCTACTATGTGCTATACTGTTTGAGCTTCTCACCATGAACAGCATGAACAAAACAGAAAAAACCCTTGCCCTCACAGAGTTCCATTCTATTCTGTTCTGTTAAGTAAGAGTGAGGCAGAGTCAAAGACTGTACATCGAATATGCAAATAACTGCTGTCCCTTGCATATGCAAAAAAAATAATAGATTCATCACTTTCTATAATTGGGCTAAATCTCATGTTTCCATCTCCCTGGATAATGAGGGGACCTGGAGTCTTTGTGATGCCAAACAAAGTTACAATCGACCCTCATTCATGGATTCTGTCTGTAAATTCGTGTACTTGCTGAAATTTGTAACCCCCAAATCAATAATCACAGAACTTCCACAGTTATTAAGAGTAGCACAAAATCTGAATCATGGCCACTCATGTCCCCAGCTGAGGCAGAACAAGGTGACACTGTGCCGTCTTGTTTCAGCTAGATATTAAATATGTCTCCTTAATCTATTTAGTGCCACATTTTCCCATTTTTGTGCCTTGTGTTAGTATTTTTATTGGGTCAAAACCTTGTAAGCTTCCCAGCTTCCTGGATATAATCTCAAATTAGTCCCTGTGCACAGAGGCCGGGGAGAAATTGAAGAAAATTGCAGAATATTCTAGAATGATAGCAATTTTAATGAGCAAGGGAACTTATTTACAAAGATTGCCTTGAGTGACCATGAAACAGCAATTTTTTATAACCTCCCAGCTCCCACCTTCGCCACCAAATCTCAAAACTTTTATGTAAGCCTTAGTTCAGTCCAAACATACACAATTCAGAACATCTCAACAAAAAACTACCCATCACAGCACATTTTCTCAAGGCTGTGTCCTTGGGGCAGTTTATGGGCAGAGAGAGCAAATGAAACAGATATTCCTAGGAGAGGGAGTGAGAGTTCTCCAGTTTGGGTCTAGTTCAGGTCAACAGATCACATTCTCCTGACTGCCTTTCCAAATGACCCCCGATATAGTGTTCAAGTGCTGTCTAGTGACCCTCAGAGCAAAAAGGCTATGATGTGCCTTATGGAGAAAATACTTGTGTGAGATAAGCCTCATTCCAGTGTGAGTTATGTGCTTTTGGCTATGATTTCAATGTCATTGGATCAACAACACATATTAAATAGGTCTCTTTAGACAAAAGTACACATAAAACAAGGTTATATATTAATGGTAGATGACATTGTGATTAGAGGCTTGAGGAAACCTGAGCCTGTATTAGCGCCAGGAAGAATGGTTCATTACATACTAATCCAGTGTCCGTGACATGAATGATAGAATCAGCTGTATGTCCACCTCTTATAGTTCAAAAGTTTTCAGTTTAGATCAGTCTCTGGGATAAATATTTAATCAATTCAAGGTTACAATCTACTTCCTCGACCTTCTTTCTAAGATGGTGTCAGGGTGCCTAGACAGTGTCTGCCCTTATTGGGGTAGGGTAGCTGTGCCAAAAGCAGGTCCTCCGGCTTCCTCCCTGACTTCTGTCAAGGTCACTGGCCACCCTACTGGCCCTGGTAAGGCCCATGATCTAGGTTTTGCCCACAGAACTGTGGTGCCCAGGCTCACTCTGCCCCATCCTGGCTGGGCTGGTCCTGCTCATCTCTGTGAGCCGGCTGTGTCTTCCCTCCTTCCAGGATGCAATGTATCTGGATGGAAGGACCATTTAACCCCTAGCCACAGCTGGCCTATCCATTCTCAGCTGTTTCCTGGGAGAAAAACATGATTTTCAGGGAATCAAGAATATGGGAGATGAATATTTTCAAAATATTACCCCTGTTACAATAGTATGAAATGCAATGGATATTTTCATTATAAACCTACAAGAAGTTTATCTGATCACTTACGATATATTTTTTAAAATTTTAACAATAGTGTTACGATTTTTAAAGTGGTAGTAAAATATGTACATGACATAAGATTTATTGTTTAACTATTTCAAGTGTACAGTTGAGGGACATGAAGTACATTCACATTGTTGTGCACCATCACCACCACCTTCTCCAGAACTTTCTCTTTGTCCTAAGTGAAACTGCACCTGTTAAACACTAACTCTTCATCCCCTCTCCCCAGCCCCTGGCACTCACCGTTTTACTCTCTGTCACTATGAATTTGACTCCTCTACGGATCTCATATAAGTGGAATCAGTCAGAATTTGTCCTTTTATGTCTGACTTATTTCATAGAGCATAGTAACTTAGAGATTCATCCACATTGGAGAATGGGTCAGAATGTCCTTCTTTTTTAAGGCTAAATCATATTTCAGTGTATGGATAAGACCACATTTTGTTTATCTATTCTTCTATTGGTTATTCTGAATAATTTGCTAGGAACATTAGTGGCAATTCACTTAGGATGTTTTTGAGGAATATTAGTATTTAACTTCTCCAAGATCTGATTTTGATTTATATGTCATTGTTATCTGGACACCAGATCAGATGGGAAGGTGGAATACATATATATCCTCTAAAAAGTTTTACATTATCTTAGAGGAATTTAATCTTAAGTATTACTTCCTATAAAACGTGTTCTGTTGTCATAGTTCCTAATCTGTAAAAGTGGTCCATAGATAGAATGCTCAAAATAGCCAAAGATGGTGAGTTTGTAGCTTATTGTATAAGCAAGTTTGTTTTAATAATCTTAAGAGTTATTTTTATTCACAATATTTATATTTGTAATTCTTAACATAATCAACCTGAAAATACAGTAACGGGATAAGAAGTTAGACATAGATCTTTCCAAATTAGAGTTGAAGGAGAGGGGAGACACTTAAGAGAGATGAATAAATTTGTTTGTGAGGAGGGCTGAGATGTAGCTTTGTGGACAGCCTTTTGAGAGACAGGTTTTTGCAGGTAATGACGATTCCCTGGTAAATTGAGACTGAATGATCACCAACTGTTAGTAAACTGACTGGATTATCTGTGAGCTCAATATAAGCGCAGGATAGCCTTTGTGTTCCCCAGCCTGCCCTAAGCTGGTACACATGTGAGAAACACAAAACAACATTAATGAGAACTGAAGCAAATCATCTTTACATAATAACTGCAGTAATAATCACAGAGCTTGCAAAACACAGCCCCCAAACAAAAATTATGTTGGGGCCTCCCTGGTGGTGCAAGGGGTTAAGACGCAACCTATGAAGCTATCCACAGCCACTGCAGCACAAGTTCGATCCCCAGCCAGGGAACTACCCACATGGCGCAACAGACCTCTCCTGTTTCACCTGCTGCTCCCCTCGGCAGTGTATTTCCGTCAGTCTGCCTCTTCTGCTCCCCACTCTGTCTCTGGTGAATCCTCTCACTCCCCGCACCTCTAGCCTGTACCCCAGTTCTTGTATGCATAAATAAATAATCTTAAAAAAATTATTTTATCTGATTTTTAAGGATGATCCAAGAGTGCAATAGAAAATTGCAGCTGTCATCTATATGAACTATCAGTCTCTCTAAGTCTTTGAAGAAAGGTGTTTTAAATTTTAACAGGCCACAGACACCCAAGTTACAAGAGAAATTCAATGACAAAGTCTCCCATCTTTCCTGTCCCTGAGCCCCAGTCCCCTCTCCAGAAGCCCCACACTTCTCTGTATTTTGTTGCCGGCAGCCTGAGCACATATAAACATGGAGATAGCAACAAAGGAATCTCTCTTCTACAACTTCCTTTTTTCACTCTTTTATTTTGGGCATTCATAAGACTATACTTGGAGCTGCATTGTTCTTTTTACAGCTGCATTATATGCCACACAACCATTTATGGTAGAATCTTATATTAGATCTTATGTTTATTGATGTACATTTTGATGATATGGAAAAACATGATTTGGGATATAAATATGTGGGACTAAACATATAGAATGTGGAATTAAAGGAAGTGCTTTCAACCATCAGCCCTTTGGGGGGTGAAGTATAAAATAAGATTGCTGGTCATTTCATCCTAGTTCAAAATAACTTCATAAAGCCATTTTCTAACTGCCCAAAGTGATTGCTGCTGTGCACATGCCAGCATGTGGTTGAGAGAAAATCACTTTCTTTCTGTCACAGATGTGGTAATGCACATGAAAGCTCTGAAAGCATAAACCAGCTTGCTCACAGGGGAAACTCAGAATCTCAGCATAATTTAAGTGAATGTGAGAAGGAGTGTATGAGTAAGTGAGACTGCATGGGGGACTCTGAGTGTGTGTGAGAGAGAGGTGGTGGGAGGAGCGTCCTTACAGGCATTGAGGTGTCACTGAAGGATTTTCACTGCAGATTTATGTAGTCAGAGCTCCATTTTAGAAAAACCCCTCTGACGGCAGCCTGAGGGTTGGAAGGATGACGAGCGTAACAATGGCTGTATCACTCCTGGGCTTGTGACTGTATCACTCCATTCTTCAAGGCCAGCATGGTCAAACCTCTACTCCATCTACATATCACCTTCTCTCTATCGACTCCCTTTGTCACTCTCTTATAAAAAGACACTTTCAATTGTATTTTGCACCCACCCAGATAATCCAGGATAATTTCCCTAAAGATCTTTAATCACATCTGCAAGGACACTTTTTCCAAGTAAAGGAACAGTTGCAGGTTCCAGGAATTAGGATCTGTTACCTTTGGGACCTTTATTCAGCCTACCAGAGATGCCATTCACTGAGGCATTGATGGAGGAGTTGCAGATTTAGAAGAAGGCATAACCACGATTAATCCAAGACATCCCGAAAAGCTGGGAAAAGGACAGAACTGGACACCATGCCTCTGTCATTTCCAATGTCTTATGGTAATTTGGCAAATGAGTCCACAGGTAAACACATCTGAAAGTGTAACCCTCTGAGACTGAACCTAGTAAAGCAACAACAGCAGGATAAATAACCATTTTTTAAGCCAAGCTAAGCAGAAAATGATTTGCAGGAAAAACCAGGGTCATATTTCTTTAAATCAATCCAATGACCAAGTAGTATTCTCAGACTACCTGTTGTAAGAACTGTGACTTCTTTACTTACATTGTAACTACAATGTCCATACCCAACATTGTTCAGGAAAGCTAATTATTTGTAACCAAAAAATACAGTTTTGATGATAACTAGCACATATAAGAATTAATTTTAAAAACAGTACTCCTGATACTCATTGAACTGTTTGCACCACTTAAGAAAATTACTTTGAACTATGACTCTTCTAGATCTTGACTTCAGTCTTCCATACCTGACTGCTGAGAATTTCATGAACATACTGGTCTTGGCTGATGCTCTTAACAATGTACTCTTTCCTTAGGCAAGAAGTGAAGGAAGTCCTCCCTCGTGGTATAGGGGTTAGTCTCAGTGCTATTATGTTGTCAGCAGTCACTGTGGCATGAGTTCGATCCCTGGCCAGGGAGCTAACCCACATGGTGCAACAGGCCTCTCCTGTCTCGCCCACTGCTCCCCTCAGCAGTGTGTTTTGGTAGATCTGCCAGTTCTGCCCCCCACTCTGTCTCTGGTGAATCCTCTAACACCCCTACCCCCACCCCTCCACACCTCTGGCCTAGACCCCAGTTCCTGTATGCATAAATAAATAAATCTTTTTTTTTTTTTAAAGGAGTGAAGGAATTCACACTTAAAAACCAAAACCAAAGAAATTAAATGAGGGAGGAAACACTTTGCTTTTGAACATTAAAAACATCACATATTTTTGATGTGACTTCTAAACCCCTTTATCAGTTAAATAATTCTCTACATTTATGATATGGGCCATTCTTCCTACCGAAGTTAAAAGCCAATGAAAATGTGTCTGCCAAGTATTCCCACTTCAAAAGGAAAGTTCTTGATGCTTTGATGTGAGCAACACCTCATTTATTTTCCTGCACTCTACAGTTCGTTCCTATCTAGGATTTTGGATCGCTTTTAAAAGTATGCATCCTTTCTCTAAAGCTGCAGGGCAGATTTACTCCACACTTACAGCTTTTGGGATCCGGCATAATTATAGATCTTAGACATTCACTGTGTTGTATGAAATAAAAATAACTCATCTATTTTACATTTATAGTTTTACTGGAGTTTTGTGATAAGCATAAAGACACAAAAACCATCCTTTTAAAGATCTTTCATGTGACTTTACAAGGCCCAGAAAACCCCTACATGTAATCCTGTCAATATCATGAAATACTTTGTTCAGATGAATAAAATTTCTCCGAGTGTGAGGAACTTGGTTTCTTTCTACTTAAAGAAATCTGTTCCAGTACTTTTCAACATTTTGGAAATCAAACTACTCTTGGAATGATTCTTTTTTTTTTTTTTCCTGGTGTAACTGCTAAAAGCAGGAAGTTATGATCTGCATTTAAAATATCAGTGACAAGTGAGATGAAAAACCACCTACAGAGGGTGCTTATGTTGAGGGGGCTAGTAGTTGAGGTCAAAGACACATGCCAGCCAGGGACTGATTGTTAGCCATTGAATTAGTCATTACTTTCATGACCGCAGGCAGAGACCTGGGGAAACAAGACTTGAGGCAGGTTAACCAGGAAATGCAATGTCTGAAGTACAGCACTGGGGCTTGGCATGAGAGGAAGGGACACACCGAGTCCGTAAGTACTTGTGTTAGGGGGAAAGGATGTCCTGAGTTAATCCCATACAGGCTTTGTGGACACCACCCCGCCTCCAGACCAAAGCCATCAGGACATTGGGAAAGACAAATCCCATCACCACCATAGGGAAGGTGGCTGGGACCTGAGGGTGGAATTAAGTAGCCAGGTTGGGTATGAAAACCAAACACGTGGGCCTTGGGGTTTCTCGCTCTGTCCCTCGCCTCCTGGCTTCAGGGCTCCTGGCTTACGGCCAGCTCTGAGAGTGCCATTAGGGATTCCAGATCCGCCGATTGGGTAGGGCGCAATTAAAACTTTGTCTCCCATTTTTCTTTTTTTTGATTTATTTATTTAAGCGCGGGAGGGTGAGAGAATTCACCAGAGCCAGAGCAGGCAGAAGGACCGAAGTACACGGCTGACGGGCGGCAGGAGAGGTCTGCGCGCCATGTGGGACCCTCCTCCCTTGGCCGGGAAGCAGCTGGGGATCGAACTGGCGCTGCAGAGGCTGCGGGCAGCTTCGCAACCCAGTGCTCAACCGCTGCGCCACCAGGGAGGCCCTGTCTCCCATTTTTCTCCCTGAGCTGTACATTTCCTCATTTGCCCTTCCCTTGTAAATAAACCTTTTATTAACCTTTCGCGTGTGCCTGCAGTAGAGTATTAGTAAGTCCTTTTAAGCGCGCGGATGAGGACCCACAGTCAGGCACCCCGTTTGTATCGGGCTGCCCTATAACACTTGGGAGGTAAAGTTTGTGTTTGAGCGACAAGAGGGGAGAGGAAGGGTCTCTTCCCGCGTCCTCGCGCGCCCAGCTGTCAGCAGGCACTCAGGGGTGACCGTCGCCCAAGGCCGACTGCCGGGTGGTTCAGACCGCGCGCATGTCCCCCGGGGTCGCGCGATGTTTGCGCTGGCCCTGTGCGTCGGTAGAAACAAAAAAGCAAAAAAGAGGGCGATGTGCTTTGAAGTCGCTTTATAACCATATTTCCCACTCTATCCCTATCCCTCTTTGTCTCTCACTCCCCTGTCCGGGGGTTCCAGAGCCCAAATACCCCAGGATTAGTCTCCTTGGCAACAGTTCGCCTTCACCGTTTCCAATCTGCGCCCCCGCAAGGGAGGAGCCCCGAGGCCCTCTGGGAAGTGTAGTTCGCGCTCTCCCGGGGTCCTGGCCGGCCTCAGAACCGAGGGCTGAACGGGGAGGCGCCCATTTGGAAGCCGTGGAGGTGGACACTGTTCTGCACGTGGTCACCCGCGGGCCCAAGTAACGCCCGGTCCCTGAGCCGAAAGCCGGGCCCGCCGCCGCGGTCACCGCTCGCCGCAAAGGGCTCTGGGAAGTGGAGTTGGCCCGCGCGGCGGGGGCGCGAGGTCCCGCGGCTGCCGTTACCGCCGGCCGCCGCGGTCAGAGCGCGTCTGCGAGCCGCCGCGCCACTCGCCCCTCGGATGGTGAGGATTTTCTGTCCTCTGGGGCGAGCTCCTTGGCGGTCCCTCGGCCTCCGGGCAGTGGGCGGCCGTCGTAAAGACGATTCCTGGCCCCAACCGCCTCGGGCCGGCGCCCGCCTCGCTGGCGAGGTCTTGGCGAGGTTCCCTGGGAATCTGCGCTGTGCGCCGATTTACACCTTGGATCGCAGCGCCGAGAGGGCGAGCCTCGGGGTTTAGAATGGATCCTTGAAAGAGCAGCAAGTCTAACCCTCTTCTGTTAGAGGAGGAGGGAGCGAGTCATTGACTTAGAGGCAATGTTTTGCCCCAAATCGGGGATCCGGGCCATCGCTGTCTGTTCCTGCCTTTATTTGCAGCAGCAGGCAGGGTGCCTGGCACACGGCAGCCGCTCGACAGGTTAAGTGTCCTTTCGTTCAAAGGACACACAGCTGAAATTCTTCAACAAATTATAGGACTAGAAGACATTTTTAAAAAGAGGGCAGTAGACCTGAAGTTGAAGAGACTTACCAACCAATTCAACATGTGGATCTTTCTGGGACTGGGGGTCTAATAACCAACTGTGAAATTATTTTAAATCAGGGAAACGTGAACAGTGAAAATATTGAGGAATTCTGTTTAAAGGTTTTAGTGGTGATAATGCAATTGCAGTTATGCTTTTAAAGGAAAAAAGTTTTAGAAACATACTGCATATTTTGTGGGTGAAATGATGTCTGAGATTTGGTTGAAAGATACGCAGTGTCATAGGGGGTGGGAGAGTTAGAACGGATAAAGGAGATTGGCCCCTTATCTATAAGACTAGAGGTGGAAATGGGAACAGGGAGACCACTATTCTATCATATTTGTTCAAAAAAAAAATTTGAAGTGTAATTTTAATCCTTATTTGCCAGAGATACACACTGAGATATCAGGAAGGTGTGAAATCTGGTATTTGCTGTTGAACACTCCATACACCAGAAAGTGGTGGGATGTGGTAAAAACAAGAATGATGGAAAAATGAATAAGTATTGCACTTGAGTGGTGGGTCTATGAGAGTTCATTGTATTATTATATTTTCTTTAGTGGGACTGAAAATTTCCATAATCAAGGGGTTTTATTATTTTTCAATGTATTTTGTGTGTTGCGGAAAGTTTCTGAAATATAAGAAGTTAGAGGAGTTTTTCTGAAACAGCTCTCTCACTGCAAGCAGGCCTCCTTGGGAGCCTTTCTGGGCAAGAGTGAGCACCGGACTGAAGAGGGTTATGCCCCCTGGGTCCCTCAAGTGCAGGGCAGAATTCTGGCACTGAAGGTGAAGGCAGAGGATCACCTGCTGGGGAAGAAGCATGCACCTGGGGAATCGTCCTCCCAGCCAGGAACTGGGTCTTCAGACTGTTCTATGACCAGGAGATTTTCCACCCTGTGAGATTGTGTCCCCGGAAGCTCTGTGGCCAGGGGCAGAGGCCTGAGATGCACAGCAAGTTCCCCCTATCTGGGGCTGTTGTGCTGGAGCTGTTGCTGGCCCACCCCACCCCTAAGCTGCAGGGAGACCCTCCTAGGCAGTGGAGAGGTGGTGGTGTTGGTGCTGGAAGGTAGGGAAGAGAACCCAGTGAACCAGGATAGCAGATAGAAGAGAGAACTAATGGATGAAAATAGGGAGAGGGTGGATCCTTCAAAGTAAACTAAAGCTAACTACTCTGACCCGACACTGTTGTCTCTGTGCTTCCTAACTCTTCTGTTTTACCTTTGGGGATTAGTTTTTGGTTGATTTCTTAGGTCTTTCTAAGGTTCTTGACGCTGATGCTTGCCTGGGGATGCTTCATTTAAATCATTATTTAAACTAGTCAACTTTTATATCATCCTTTACAGAAAGTATTGATAAAATGCATATACATTTTACACATTACAGAATTAAGTGCAGGTTTCACATTTCTGGCTGAGCTTTCTACTTCTGGAGCACCTTATCCACTGCCTTTAGTAAACTTAAAAGGGCTTTAACTCTGTACACACAGTCTGTACTTTGGTGCCGAGACATTAACCATGGGACCCTGAGGACATTATCCTTCCACATTTTGTTCTCTGCAAACTGATTACATCCAGAGACACAATTCCAAAGTTGGCCTCAACTTCACAAACTAGAGGGTGAACCTTCCTGAGTTAGAAACACCTAGCAACTGGGAGGGAAGTTTGGATTCAGAAAAACTGGAGTTTGTTGGCTGTTCTGATGATTTTTGACAATGGAATATTTGGAAATAAGGACATTTAGGGGAGATTCAGAAAATATGTTCATCATGTAAATGGATACAAATTTATGTTAACATAAAGTTAATTTTTAAACAATAACTATTTTGTCAAAACTTGAATCAAAATCTCATTTAAAATCATCATCATATACCTTAAATACAGTAAATTTTAATTGTCAACTTACCTCAATAAAACTAAGGAAAATAAATTTTTTTAAATTTATTGTGCTGGAGCTGTTGCTGGCCCACCCCACCACACCCCTGAGCTGCAGGGAGAACCACCTAGGCAGTGGAGAGGTGGTGGCACAAGGGGTTAAATGTCAGCACTAAGAAGTTATCACCAGCCACTGTAGCACAGCACGAGCTGATCCCCAGCCAGAGAGCTGATCCACATGGCACAGCAGACCTTTCCTGTCTCACCCACTACTCCCCTCAGCAGTGTATTTCAGTAGATCCACCTGTTCTGCTCCCCACTCTGTCTCTGGTGAATACTCTCTCACACACCCCCACACCTCTGACCTGTACCCCAGTTCCAATATGCATAAATAAATAAATCTTTTTTAAAAAAATTTAGTTTAGGTCATCTCTACAAAGTAGGGTCATATAGGACTATCCCTTTGAATGTTTTATAAACGTGTAACATTTAATTATGTCTTTTAATGAACAGATGTTGCTTTGTAATCAGTAGAAAACAGTATTTAAAGGAAGTACATGGGGTGGCGGGCAAGTCTTAAATTTTCTTAAAAGAAAAAAAGCACCCCTTTCCTTCAGATCTCCCAATTTTCTTGTCTCCAAGACAGGAGGTTTTCTGGGGGAAAAGGCACCTCTACCACCAGCACAAGAATACCATGTACAGCAGCTTCAGCTAGAGATTCAAAGAACATTTGAGCCCCGGTTATAATGTGGACATTAGGAGCTCCAGCCCTCTCAGCCACAGGTAAGAAGCAGCATCCCCTGGGGAAGTGGACTGGGGTCTTTTTCCTGGACCTTCCTGTGAGGAAAGCAGGACAGAACATCACAGCTCAGAGGCCTGTGCTAGAAGCTGAGTGTGATCCTCAAACTGGCATGAGACCTTACATCCAGAACTCAGAGCGGCGCTGAGGTGACAGCAGGACAGCAGGAGAATGAACCCCTGTCTCAGCCATCCCCAGGTACCATCTGGACACACTGTTGCACAGTTGTAAATTCTGGTGGGGTAACCTTATTCAAACCACACTCTGTGGTGTGGCTCCCAGGGAACTCTGGACAGTGACGTCATCTTTGCTCCCTTCATATAGCCTGCACTCAGCGCTGGAAGGGAACCCAGAAGACCGAGTCGCCTTGTGTGGAGTGGAGCGAGGCCTGCTCCAGGGGAAGCAGGGAGCTTGAGGATCGAGAGAACAGACCCAATGAGGCACCCACCCCAAGCCAAGTGGGGAGCAGGCAAGGTGGAGGGGCTGGGCATGCTCCCGTGTCTTCCTTCAGACAGCAGAGCAGCCCTTACATCACTATTTCTGTTGCTATGAATTTGTAGAACTGAGAACAGATGTTCCCTAACTTAAGACTTGGGGTTTGCCAACTTCGTAGTAATGAGAGATATGCACTTAGTAGACACTGCTCTGATGCTGTGGTAATGCTGGGCAGCAGCTTCAGTCCACAGCTCCCTGTCAGCATTTCAACCTCAGGATATTTCCAGCTGACAGTGGGTTTATCAGGACCTAGCCCCACTGTCAGTCAAGGAAGATCTGTAGCTTCCTTTGTAAGAGGACTATAAATGCTTATTGCAAAGCCAAATAACACCCTAGGGGTTGCTGTTTTACACCAGCTGTGCCCAGTTTGCATGAATATGAGGAACCAAGGTTGGACTTCACAGATTTTGTCATGTGCACAGATACTTACAGCAGGGGAGCATCAAGTCCCTTCTTTTTTGGGTGTGGCTTGACTGCAAAGCTACCGCACCAAAATAATACATTGGACAACTAGATTTTTCCCTGTCACTGTTGGGATCCCTGGGTGATCAGAGGCAGGGGTGACATTCATCCAGGACCCACTAGGGTGAATGATGGTCAAAGTAGTAAATATTTCTGGATAGTCAAAGTAGTAAATATTTTGGTAAGCAGCTGCTGCTGTTTTCCCACTTTGGCAGCCCCGGCATTTACCCCCACTCCTTAGGACCTTTTCAGGGTCTAACATTGAATGGTTACCACCTCGTCCTACAAGAAGCCTCTGGCCCCTGCTCCACTAACCCGCAGCTATTCTAGTCAGTCAGTGTTTGGCCTACCAGTTAGTGTTTGCAGCCTCCTGGGTTTCAAGTCTCAATATGCAACGCTTCCCTCACCCCACCCCACCACCCATGCACTGGAAGGGCAGCTGCGCACTGGCCCAAGGAACAGGTGCTGAGCCAACAAGATTCAGGTGCTGCCTCCACTACGTACTAGCTTGCCATCTGGGCAACTCCTTTAACTGCTCTGAGCCTCTGTTTACTCATCTGTAAGCAGCAAACAAAATAATAGAGGAAAAAGTAAATGAGAAATATAAATTACAAAGTCCTAACATGTAAAAATTATTTTTAAATTATCACATACAACAGTTCTTTTTCCAACACAGAACTGTCCCCTCAAGCCCAGCTTTCTTTCCTCTTGCCTCCTTCCTTTCATTTTTTTTGCACTTAGCTCAAACCACCAGGGGCTGCCCAAATGTCCCCTCTCTGCAGGTCACTAGCTCTGGCCCCTTGGGGCTCTGCTTGTGCACCATGGCCTCTCCTGTGTGGCCAGGAGAAGCCAAGTTATTCTTCCAAGTTATTCTTCCCCTGTAGTCACCCAGCTACGCTCTGGTCCTGTGCTTTCTCCTCCTCACCAAGTTCATAAAATAATGATGTGAGGGATGTTTTGTGTTATAAAAGTAATACATGTTCATGACAGAACATTTGGAAAATAAAAATATGCTTAAAAAGAAAATAAAAGTAACTCATAATTTTACCACAAATGTAGTACTTTATAATCTTCTTTTTTAACAAAAGAAATCATCAAATCATCAAATAATCTCATTTTTCATTGTTGCGTCATAGGCTAGAGTTGATGTAATCAAGCCCCTATGGAAAGCACGGATTTTATTGCAATGACCTCTTTTTGCACAGCAAATAGTATTTTGATTTTCTATGTATGATTTCAGACTACAAATAAGGAACTTGCTGAAAGAAGACCCTAAGGGTGACTCAAGCAGTCTACAGGGAAGCTCTGAAGGTACCTGAGGTGGGAGATAACCTCAGAATGTCCCAGAACCTGGGACCAGCATGTCCAATACCAGGGAACTGAACAGGTAGAAGGGTGAGCAGCTGCCCTGTCCAAGAGAAGAGCTTCCAGTAGAAGAAAGAGAAGCTGTGAAAGTGACAAGTGACCAAACCTCCAGGCCAGGTGAGCCCCTTGTTCTGAGTCAGGAAAGTTACACAGGCTGAGACCCCATGCCACAGTTTCTGAACTCCCACAAGAGAAAACCCTCAAGGTGAGTGTGTGGAGTAGACTTCCAGATCTCCCAGAACCTGGAGGTAATCCTTTAGGAAACCTGGTTCCCTAACTCAGGCCTTTTCTACGTGGCTTTGTAACCAGCTAGGCCTGTGCTCCCAGAAATGGAAGGTCATGGGCTGCTGGCCTTGACAGCAACTTGTCGCAAGACGACTTAGTTCTCAAATTATAGAGACTTCCACCTTCATCCCTCTTGGACCATTCTGAGTCATTTCAGCTCTTATTTTAAAAGATGTAATACTTTTTTTTCTCTGATTAACAAAAATGATGCGTGTCCCTGACAGAAAGTTTTAAAATGCATATAAATGAGAAAATGTAGTCCCCTATTCTAGAAAGAATCACTGGTAGCATTTAAGTGTCCTTAAAGCATTTTTTCTAGGCGTATACATATATTTTCACCATTATTCAGATTTCTTTAAGAAAGGAGGTAAGAATTTCCTGGGATCCACTATCACTTCCTTTCACCTGGCTATCAGAGTACCAAGAAGCCCTGGGAGGTCTCTTTGAGAACCCCTATCCTGCAGACCCCAGTAGCAATACCTCTTTTGGCCACTTGAGGGGGGTGTTTGCTCATGCATGGCTGCCAGCGCTTGGAGTTGGGACATATGCAGGGAATCATCCTGCAGGCCTAGCTGTTGTTCCTGCACAAGATGTTTTCCCCTTGGGTCCAGGAACTGCCAGTTCCCATCAAAATCTCCTGTTGTCAGTCCTGGCTTTGTTGCTCATTCTGCTCACTGAGCCTCCTGGAAAACCTTTTGGTTCATGAGGGGAAAAAAGAACTCACAGGCTCACTGTTAGCGGCCCCTTGGCTACGTGTGCCTCACTTCCATCACAGAAGTACAAGGGACCAGGCCTGCAGGGTTGCTCTGAGGAATCCTCTGCTGGCTCATCCAGCACTCTTTCCTAAGCCCTCTGAAATCTCGGGACACAGGCACCCTGTAATGTCAGAGGTGCTACTGTTCTCCTGATTCCGCTCACTTTGCCCCCACCCCCAGTTGCCCATGTCACTATTTCCTGATGCCTCCTCCTTCACTGTCCTCTGTCCCCAGCACAAATAATAGTGCAGGTGCAGAGTAGAGTAGATGCTCAAAAGATATTTGTGGAATGAGTGAATCACCGAGAGTGCCTGTCACAGCAGTGTCCCCAGTGGTGTGTTGGCCAGTTGTCAGATGTGGAACAGTAGTCATCGGCCTCTTGACAGACAGGTGGCCTCCTGCTCACTGGAGGACCAGATAACAGGCCAGGCACAGGTGCCATCACACCCTCACAGAGCAGAAAGAGTGAAGAATGACCTGGAAGGAGGAGGGATGATGAAGGAACATTGTCACTACTCCACGGGAAAATTGTGAGTTCTGAGTCCTGGATTCTTCTCCTGCACAGCATAAGATGTCCCTGCGAGGGTGGCACAAGGACCACCTGGATGCGGATGTGTCATCAGAACAAATCCCCACAGGATGTCAGCTTTCCCTCAGCCAGAGTCTGTCCTTTGCTAGTGTAAAAAGTACAAGTTCAAACAAAATCTTTAGCTTCACCCTTTGTTCCTGGTTTTTTTCTTCTGTGAACGCTTCGTGTCACATTGCACAGAGGCCCGCCCCTCTGACAGTATGAGTAGGCCCCATGTTCTGTGAGGTTGGAGCACCCCAAAGAATGTCTCCATTTATGACAAGCACCAGCCCATGGGGTGATGAATACGGGCTGATTTCTCCTCAAATGATCACCCTCCCTGTCATTACGTCTGAAAAGATCCAGCCCGGAACAGTGAGCTGACAGGTGAGGTGTGCTTTCTTGGCAGCCCCACTTGGCCAGCTGTAACTTTCCTCCTGCGTGACCCTCTGAAGGCCAGGCTCTACCGCTCTCTGCTCTATTTGCGTTGCAGCCCTCTCTGTGGTTTTCTCCTCCCCAGCAGCTGCTCACCTCCGCCTGAGGGTTTTCCTACACTGGGTCATTCACAGGGAATCTCTGTAGTGTGAATTATGAGATGAATGGAAATTTTCCCTTATTCATAATATAAGCTTCCCTCTGCTCAATGGTTTCTTTGATACTCTGCCAGAATTCTGCCCAAATGTTCAGCCACTTGTGTCCTGTCAGTGGAGCAAGTTTGGGCTTATAGTCTGCAGCGTCCCCAAGTCCTATCTTCATCAGCATGAAGTCTCCAGACCCTGGCCTGAGAAGCAACAGCCTGCCCACAATGACCTCCATGTTCTGCCCTGGCAGGAAGGCTGAGTGTGTGGACAGCATGGCCTTAACCCTGGCCTCATGCTGTGGTGACACTATGGGAAATGAGAATGTCATAAGCCCCCCTTATTGGGAAGCAGAGAGTCCATGCTCGACCTCTGGTAGTTTCTTCTTGCAATGACAGCAGCGAGAAGAAAAAGCATTGGTTGAACTCTCCTTCTCAAGGGGAATGATCAGCTCACATCCTGAGCCCCTGTAGCCGTTACTCAGGTCGAAGTGCCCCCCCACCCAGAATGCAGCCTAACCCTCCTCCCCAAATCCTGTCCACCCCCAAGTCTGGTCTGAAGTCTATGTCTTCCCTGTAACCTTCCTTGGCCTTCACAGACCTGCTGTCAGGCTCCTGCCCTGCACTTCTGAGAGGTCCCTGCCCAGAAAGCCCATTCTCATGTAACGCTCTAGTCCTTCATGACCCTCGTGCACTTTTTTCTACTCAGACGTAAAGCTCTGTGAAGAAGAATCACGTCTTGCCCTTCGTAGTCTCCACACACATTTAATACTGAGAAACTTGAGGCCATTTGTGGATGGATGACAGCAGGCAACTGTGGACACTGCAGTTGAAGAGGACAGATGTGTGGTTCCGGGCAGTCGCGGATGGAGATGCATGCACCCTTAACTGAAGACGTAGCTGCCTTCTCTGGGATGACTGTCACTTGGAAGGTGATCTCAACCTTATTGCCACCCCTTCCCCTCTCAGACCTTCTGCCCGTGGGCGGATTAGCCTTGCTCTCCATCCATGAGGTAATAGATGCTTCATCCCCATCAGCTCTGCAAGAGACATTGCTAGCTGCCGTGTGCTGAGCTAATCCTGGGAATGACCTGTGTGAGGCAGGGGAGGGCTTCAGAACAGGAAAGCATAAAGTCAGCATTCTTGCAGAGCTGTCATCGGAGTGTGCTGATTACGTATGTCAGACGCACAAACTGCTCTGTACATGAACCCTGTGAGGACGAGGCCTGTGTCTGAGGCATCTGTTCACGGCATCTGTCTGAGGGCCCAGCATAGTGTCCCTCTAGCACAGAGTAGGTGTTTGTTCCTGCGGGTGCCAGCAACAAGGGGCTCGTGGAGGGAAAACAGATATTAATCCGTGTACTGAAATGTCCCGCCTGAGCCTCCACATCACCCCCTCCCCCAACGAGGACATTCTCCTGTTGACATTTGGCTGAGTTGAGTTCCCAGCACAAAATGTAGAAAAGGCCCTTTGTCTTTTGCTAGTTACAAAATCTCTATCTCCCCTGCAAAAAAAGGGAAAAACTCTGTATACATTGAGGGTTTGATAGAGCCCTGGAGTTTTCTTCTAAGTTTCTTTAAAATCTATTAAGTTAGAAAGGTGGGGATGGTGAGAGTTCTTAGGAAGCCAAGGTTGCTTCAAAGCAGCTAACCCTTGAACCCGGTGAAGATGTGCGCAGGTCATTGAGTGTTAGGAGAGATAGGAAGGGCGCTCCCTCTTCATCTGCTTACCAGAAGCGGAGCAGTCATCTCTGGGCCCCAGGACAGCTGGTCTCCAGGGTTTTGTGCTCCCGTCTTGGAAACTTATAGCTGGAATGGCATTTACCCTTGCTTTCCTCGTCCCTCTCAAATCACTCTGCTAATAACCATCTAAAGCCCAAATTAAATAAGAATTTTACAGAACTAGGTATAGAGGATTAAAATGGCTCATCAGCTGAAGGCTTTTGGAGGAGCCAGGGCTGGGAGGGGTAGGTGGCTTGGCTTGGCACTCTTAGGGAGCTGTTCTGAAAGCTTTTAGGAAATTGCAAGTAAACAGTCTAGCAGGAAAGCTATGAAGTGTTTTATGGTCTAAAAGATACACCCCCAAAGTCATTCCCTACTCGCCATGGAGGACACCAGGAGAGTCCCTATCCAGAACAACCAAGCCAGCCTCTTGATGTTCACTGGCAGGTTGGTTCTCCTCACTGGGTTTCTGACCGTACCCAGCCTGTGCAAAAGCACCCCTAACAATAGTAACCCGTGTGCACCTGGCGCTTGCTCTGCAGGTGCTCCCCATGCAGTCTCATTCAGTCCTCCCCACAGCCCCGTGCAGAAGGATGTTTCTATCCTTGTGTTAAAAATTGCAGGAAATAGGGTTTACACAGGTTAAATAACTTGTCCAAGGTCATACAACTAATACATAGAAGAGATTCAAGACCAGGTCTGCCCATTAGCTATGGTTTTAAAGGCTCTCATTTTTCTATTGCAGGATTTTTAATTTCATTTGCTGGAATAGCCAGTCCACTTTCTGTTTCTGTTTCAGGGCTAGCTTGACTTAGTCCTGCTTCTATAATCCCTTGTCAGACCTTTCAGAGCCACTAATAGGTACTGAAATCTTCCAGCCCCTATTAAAGCCATGTCTGTGGGAGGCAGTGAGCTCCCACTAGCAGTCACTGGAATTTCTCTGTGGGAATTTGGGGGTCTCCTGGAGTCACAGCAGACTCAGGGTTCTGTGATTATAGTCTCAATTCTGTAAGTTGGGTATTTGGGCAGAGCAAAGCAGAAGTGATTTACTTCTGTTTCACCATATCTAGTCCTCAACTGGAATGACCCAAGTAGCTGTATTTGGCTAGAATGATTTAACAGCAGCCGTGGGTCAGGGACTTTGGTTCTATCTGCCAACTAGAATCCTCCCCTTCTCTCCATGTGGCAGCCACCAAAATGGGGCTGAGATGTGCAAAATGCTTTTTTACTCATGTGTCTGGTGCCTCTGTGTTCTCTCTTGTGACTTCTCCCTGTAGAGTAACCTAATTGCACTGGCATCCTATCCAAGCTCATGAACCCACTGCCCGATTTCTTCTCCACTCTATTAGACCTGTCCTGCCAGCTCCCTTCTGGGGGAACTGCCTTGTTCAGCCCCACTGCCAGGCTGTGCTGAATGTAGCACATGGCCCTGCACTAGGCCCCTCCTATACATATTCAGGTAGGTAGGTCACTGCACCAGGCCATACAGGCAGATGTCTTTTGAAGTCACATGGCTCACAAATAGAAGGAAACAGACCAGTCAGATTTCCCTTTGGGGAAATAGGAACCCAAAAATCAGCCCATATAGGCAGTGTGTGAAAAAATGTCTTGAAGGCAAATAGGGCCTGGATGGATCAATGTGCAGACCAGAATGACATTGAAGAAGAAACTTGGAGATTGAAGAAAACTAAAAACAGACTTAGAATATGGAGAACAATAGCTTATTTTTGGCAAGAGGATAAAGGAGGCACTGACCACACAGAGCTGGGAGCCTGTGAGACGCAGGCAGAGAAGCCAGCCAGGCTGCCCCAGCACTCCATAGGGCTCACTGCCCCGCCTCTCCCGTGTGTGTCATTGCAGCAACTTCATCAATTCCCTCTGCTGTCAGTTGACTTAAACGTGCACACATGACTTAGTTCTGCCAACAACACCCACTAGGAAATGGCTGGGGGACTTTCTGGGAATAATTTTACATTCTGATTACAGAAGCAAGAATGAAGAGGCCTGTCCCTTTTTCCTGCTTTCAACATGGATGTTTAAAGACATGATCCTTGGAGCTGTAGCAGCCACGTTGAGACCATAAAGCAACAAAACTAAGGGGGAAAGTCAGAACACCAAAGAGACAGACAAAAAGAGCCTGGGTCCTTGATGATATAGTTGAGCCACTATACCTATCCTGGAACCATTTACTTCCAGTTTTATTGACACAGAAATTAAATGTCTTTATTTTCAAAGCAGATTTCTGCTACTTGCAGCCAAAGGCATTCTTAACCAGTATAGCACTGCTCTGAACCTCTCTATCACCAATTCTCTAGAGCCCCTGGCTCTTGGTACAGCACCAAATGGGAAATCAACCCAAGTTTAGACATTGGAAATCTTGCTTTTGTGGTAGGAAATAAAAGCCGAGATTGTCACTGCTACAGAGCAATTTTAGCACTTAATCCCAACTCCTGGGTCTACAGGCCATCAAAGGATGAGAGAAAAGATTCAGGGACATTCCAAATGTATGAGCACTGAACTTCTAAAATGGAGTTCAGTGGTGCTGTTCAGGAAACAGTTCTTTGTGGTGAAGTGGGGGGAGGTCGAATGTTGGAGATGCAGAGCTGATGCACAGGCTAGAAAGCTGTGAAGGCAGGCGGAAGGAGCAGCAGGGGAGGTGTCCACAGTAGGGTTTCAGAAGGCCCATGGACAAGCTGGAAGAAACTTAGGACAGCCAGAACTAAACTGGTAGAAAACTAGACCCTCTAGTTACTGTGCAGCCAGCAGCAGTGATAGTGCAGATCCTTGTAGGAGTCAGGCACCCTGATGTGCCATCCTGGCTTTGGGCACTCTGCTTTCTTCATTTTTTGTCTCTTCACTTCTCCCCATTTTCTCCCTGGCTTCCTTAAGCAAAGCCAGGAGCCAGAAAGGCACAAGGCCTGAAACAGTTGAGAGTGAATATAGTCAGAGGATGACTTCCAGAAGACTTCCAGTGCCAGTCTGGGGACAAAGGGCTAGACCTGGAGGAGAGAAGCAGACAGTGGACGAGGATGGGCCCAAGCTTTCTTCAAGCAACGTGGTTTGTGTTTCTCCAACACAAGAAAACATGACTGATGCTTCCTGGCCTTATGAAATGAGTTGAAGTCAATAACTCCAGTCCTTCCCCTTTACATTTCTAGTTTTAATTATAAAACAGGTAAACTAGCATCTCCTAATGTATCCTAAAAATACAAAGTAATCAATTACATTCAAAACTTGAGGAAAGCCACCTACCCATATCCCATGAATGGGGTCCACCCACAGGCTGCAATGATTTTAGAAATTGCAGCTACCAGATTCTGCCCCTTAGGCCATAGCCCCTTTCAATGTGTCCTTATGCACTCTACATATTTCATGGAGTCTTTCACCAAAGGCCCAAACCAGGCCAACTAATGTTTGCCTACAGTATTACTTTATTCAGCAGAAATTTACTGAATACCTAAAAAAATTAATAATAAATCCTATGAGATGAAAGAATGAAAACTTTGGGGTAGAAAAGCAAAAAGTTTAAGCCCCTACTTTGATGTGATTAATACTTGAATGTGATACTTAATAAACCCTGAATTCCACCACCCCCCCAAAGTTTCCCCATATATCACTAAGGATTCTCTGAAATCCAATAAGGAAAAGAATAAAGGCTTTTCCTCATTCTCATAATCAAGGTTTTTTTCTCCAGTATGAATGAGCCTGATTACTGACTAAAAGCTCTCCCACCATCTTTACAATGCGTGTTTCTTTCCTGTGAATTCTCCAGTGATGAGAAAGGGCGAAGCTATCCCCAAATGATTTTCCCCATTGATTATACTCATAGGCTTCTCTCTAGCATGAATGAGCTGATGTTCAATACGCTCCACGCTTCCCTAGATAGTTTTCTATATTCATCACATTTAACAGTTTATGCCCCAAATGAATCAGCTGATATTGTCTAAGGATGGAACTCTGATTGAAGGTTCTTCCTCATCCATTATGCTCACAGGGCTCCTCTTGCTATAAAATCCCAGATGTCTAATTAGCTTGGAACGCTGTCTAAAAGCGTTTTTACATCCATTACGTGCATATGGTTTTTCTCCAGTGTGAATTCTCTGACGTTGAATGAGCTTTGCTTTCCTGAAAGCCCTCACATTTATAGCATTTGTAGAGTCTCTGTTGCATGCGGATTAGCTTATGCATGTGATGCTGGGATGCTGATGGCTGCCTCCCACAAAACAGGGATTCTCTCCAAGGTGAATATGGTGCTGTTTAGTAGGATGGGGACCCCAAGGAGAGTTGCATATATTTGTAACAGACAAAGACAGTCTCTCCAATATGTATATTGGAATACTAAATACATTCTTAATTCTGTCCCAAGATGTAGCCACACCTATCTTATCTTGGGATTTTCTTCTAAAAAATGTAGATAGGATTGCAAATTTTTCCTAGATTCATCATATCCATGGCATGGGGTCCTTACTGTTTTACTAGGATGTCTTCATATTCCCAGTCCTCTCCAAACTCAGGGATCTAGTCATGGTGCCAGAGGCACCTCATTGGATCCAGGAAGGTCCTGCCCGGGGTCAACTCGTTCTTGGTCCCAGTGACACAATTTGAAATTACAGGAAATGTGAATATTGGCCATTTTTTCTAAAAGACAAAATTTCGTAGAGTGAGAATGAAAGGTTTTGGGAGAAGAATTAAAGATAAGAGTGTCTTTAGGCAAATATTAAAAATGGTGTGATGTGACAGAAGTAACAGCTGGTTCCTTTCCTAATGGCCCTAATTTTGGTCACAGAATGTACCCAATAAAAAGCCCTCCCCTAGTGACTGTGAGGAGGGAGCATGTGAGGAGTCGAAAGGAAGTTGTTCCCACTTTGTTTTTTGATCTGGGCACTACTCATATTGGGTGTGTTCATTTTGTGAAATACATAAGTGGTATGCTGCATTTATGCACTTTATACAATGTAAGGTTTTTTTAAAAATCACTATCCCATATGCCACCTGCACAGCCACAGGACAGTTTCCAAAAATGAGATGTAAGCAGAGACTCTTAAGCAGAAACAGGAACTTTTGGCCTTTTTCCTGTCCCCTTCATCCTGCCGGGCCTGGATCCATAGTAGTGCAGCAGCCGTCCCATGAGCAAAAATGGCCCAGTGAGTCCAAGGTGTCTGGGCCCGGTGACCTTGAACGTCTCACCTCTGTAATTTTTACTTTTTTAGTCTAGTAGGTGAGAAAGGATTTTCATTAATTGTGAGTAAGGTTAAGCATCTTTTCCTCTAATGCCTCTCATGGATTATTTTGTCTTCACCTCCTTTTCCAAAGCTCAACAGAGACATTAGCCTTGTGAGTGTCACACCGCTGGAGGTGTTCTTCCACATTTGTCATTTGTCTTTTGGATTTGCAAGTGTGTGTTTAAGCCAAACAGAGGCTACTGTGTTTTTTTTTTTTCCTGTGGCTTCTAAATTTTATGTTATGTTTATTCCATCCAGAATTGTTAAAATGCTAAATCTTCTTGACAGTACTTTTATGGTTTCATTTTTTTATGTTTATATCTTGGATCCACACGGAGTTTGATATAATGTAAGGAATGAGGAAGAGATCCTACTGCCCCACCACCTCCTAAAACAGCCCAGGGAACGTCATCTTCCAGCTGTTTTGAAATGTCACCTTTATCCTACAATAAATTACCTTTTGAACTTGGGTCTTTTTTGAATCTCTACTTCATTTATGTCTGTACCTTCTCTAGTATGTAATTATTCCCCTTATCATTTGTTTTTCATATCTGATTACTCTTCTTTTTCAAAATGCTCATGGTGAAAATAAGTGGTAAATTGGAGTTGATGAGTCATTCAGAGATTTAAGTGATATCTTTGAAAGGGGTCAGATTAAATGTGGCCAGTTGTCTACATTACCAAGACATCTGATAAAATGAAAAAGGATGACAGGGAGCTAATGTAATATGCAAAAAAAAAAAATATTTACCACAATGTCAGGGATTACTCAAAATTCCCTTAATATTAGCATTTTAACACCATCCTCATATTAAGTACTTATCCTTTTTCCCTACAATGTATACTGGGGCCATTTTGTTTTTTTAAAAAAGTAGTCATTTTTTTCTTAATTATTACTTGTATCTAGAAGCTCAGCATCAAACAGATTATTGTTATAAAAATACATCATAAAAGCAAAAACATAAAATTTAGGGTGGTCTTTAGTGATATAAAAGGGTAACAGGCTTCAAGCCCTTTACATGGACTTCTTATGTCCTCAAAATGCCTGTCTTACAGGCGTCAGTGTACTGTGACGTCTACACAAGTCACAAACCATTCTACCATTCATTCTAGGCTAAAAATAGCCCTACGCGTGACAGAAAGGCAAATATAACATTGACAATTGTGCTTTCCTTGTGATTAAGGAGAGTCATGAGGATATATGTAAATTCCAAGTTTCTTTATAAAATAAGCTTTTCAGAGAAAATGGAAATGATTCCATTTCCTCTGATGAATTTCTACCAAATAAACAGAAACATCTAGAATAGCATCCAGATCTTATAGCTGCATATGATTTTAGATGATTTTTCCTAAAAATGATTACTATTTAAAAACCTCATTTGGGTTGTATGGGAACTAGTCTCAAATCATGGTTTTTTGTTTATTTTTGCTGTATATATACTTCATATTGGCGTAATGAACTTTCAAATTAAATGTTTTGGAAATTTACAGACCCGGGTAAAAACTAATTCCTTCAATAAGTCATAATGTGTAAGAGGAAAAAGAGATCTGATTAAGTGTATGTTGCCTGTGCTAGTGACTTCCTCCCAAAGAGGATAGTGTGAGATGGGGCAGGAAGGGAACTTTACAATGGAGAAACCTGGCAACACACCTCACGGGTGTGTTGGACATCAGGATCAACCACTGTTTATGTTAGACGTGGGTGGTTATCACCTTTGATATGATGTAATGACGATGACACTCTGTGGTCTTTGTCCTCGAAACCCATAACCCCAGCCTAATCATCAGATAACCGTCAGACAAATCCCAATTGAGGGACAGTCTACAAAATACCTGACTCCTCAAAACTGTCAAGATCATCAACAAGGAGAGTCTTTGGAACCTGTCACAGCTAGGAGGAGACTGAGAAGGGTGCCACCTTCCGCCTCGCCCCACAGTGTAGTAATGAGATGGTGTCCTCTCCCTGCCCTGCAGCGGTGACATAGCCACTTTGTCCCACCAGTGTGGTGTCATCAGGGGTCTGCTAAAATAGAAAACCTAAGGTTCAGAGTCCCGTAATACCCACAATGTCCAGGAAACAATATGTAACACCAACAATCAGAAAAATCTAAACATGAAGGAAGAAGGATTACAGCTCCACCCTGAGTGCTCCCTACAGCATTGGTGGGGCCAGCTGGGGAGGGCTGAGGGCAACCCAGGTCTGGCCAGAGCAGGGGAGGAGAGTGTATCAGGCTCACAGTTCCCTTAATCTAAACTTTGGTGATAAATAACACCCCACATGCTTCTAAAAGGGTGCTGAAACTCAGCTCTGTGCCCGTCTCCCGGGTTCCCCAACGCCCTGCACCAGAACACCAAGTTGGATGATTGTAATGGTAAGGGATATGCACAGACCTTTTGCCTTAGTGCCTTTGGAGAGTTAAGCAACAGTATCCAAAAAACTGTTTCTGTATCCCACACTCAGATTAAATGGCAGAAACAGGCCAGGGAAGCACCAGGCTTGCAGATCCAGATAACACTGGAATATAACTGAACCCAAGGGAAGATTGTGTTGTAGAGAATGTTTCCACAAATTATAAAAAGAAATTACTTTTGCACATTTATTACTTTACTAGGGCTGCCAAAATAAAATCAGACTCGGGGGCTTAAACAACTGAAACTTATTTTCCCAGATGGAGGCTGAAAATTGAAGATCAAGGTGTTTGATCAATTTCTCCCGATATCTCTTTCCTTGTCGAAGCCATCTTCTCCCTAAGTCTTCACATGGTTGACTGTCTGTGGTGGGTGGGTGGGTGGGTGTTGGGGGTGTGTGTGTGTGTGTGTGTGTGTGTGTGTGTGTGTGTCCTAATAAGGACACCAGTCATTTTGGATTATGGCCCATCCCAATGACCTCATTCTAATTTAATTACCTCTTTAAAGATCCTATCTCCAAATACCATCATTCTGACATACTGGAGGTTAGGATTTCAATAAAGAACTTGGGGCAGAGGTTGGATACAATTCAGCCATAAACGGAGGCAATTCTGTGCTAAAAAAAAAAAAAAATCCTCCAGGTATACAAAGATTTATCTAAATTACAAATTTCTTCATAATTTTCCACTGCTTTCATCCCATCTCAGCTTTCAAGTCAATAAAAGTCTCAGAGTTTTAAAAATACCTTAACAATTTTGACATTTAGCACAGTTTGATGCCTTAGTTGGCTTTTAGATTTGCCCAGCTTGATATGAGCTAATTTTCAGAGGAAGAAGTCTCTATTCAGCTCTTAGTCACAGCTGGCCTTCTGGAACATCCTTTCTAGCATCTGAATTTTAACTGAAACATATGATTTTGCATCAGAATTACTTTTTTAAGTTGATCCAACATTTACCAAAAGAGATACTAGAGCACAGAAAAATTGCTGTGGACTGAGAGCCAAGAGACTTAGGGACTTTGAAAAAGTACGTCACTGCTTTAGTCCTGTTTTTTTTTTTTTTTTTTCACGTAAAACATGAGTGGCTGAATTAAAGATCTTCAGTTCTTTCCCACCCTCAAATTCTAAGTTTAATATAAAGCAAAAATGCAGTTTTATCACTCTGGCTTCCTCCTAATTCACTCTAGGATATGAGAGTGACTCAGCTGCGACATCTGTCACCCCAATGATCACAGTGTTGATTCAGCTGATTGGGTTGGCTAGGCAGTGTCCCTTCCTCCCTTACCATTCCATGTGTGCCCCTCCCAAAGCTGCTGCACTGGGTCGAAGAGGAAGGCCTTTCCTGAATGGAGACCCACCGTTCTTCAGCCAAGAGAATACTGGTAGCTGCACTCCCCTGCTAGAACCTCCAAACAAGCTGTCCAGGTCCTTAAAACACTGATTATTCCATGAAATTCTAACCTCAAGCATAGTTAACCAACTATTACCCATCCTGAATACTCCTTTCCAATGCAGAGATGTAACCCAGGTGGATAGGACCCAACCATGAACCTGCAATGAAGTTAGAGTCAGCAGCCACAACTCTGTCGTTTGACCTGCCATCTCATTCAAAACAGACTCTTCTGACTTGACCCTCATGCCCCCTTAATGTCTTATGGAGCCCCACCCCACAACTTACAAGAAGATCCTGACTTTCTTATATTACTTTTTCCATCTAATATATATTAAAGACCCTATGGTATGGAAGAAGTCACTCATACATGTCAAAATACAACAACAACAACAAAACAAATATACGTATAAAACCAGGTGCTAGGTGGCATTCTAGCAGTTAAATTTGTATGATCTCTCTCCTGTATCAATGACCCTATGTTGTCACCTGATGACATTACATGCATGGGGATCTCCACTATGAATTCTCTAGTGCCTGAGAAGTTTCGAAGTCCATCTAAACCCACACCATTTATAGTTACACGGTTTCTCTCTAGGGTGAATTCCTGGATATTGAATGAGGCATGATGAGGCCCAAGTGAAAGCTTTCCCACAACATAAGAGACAAACTCTGGCTGAAGTTTTTCCCATATTCATGATTTCCCTTCACTACAAGTATTCTTGCATCTAATAGGATCTGAGCTTTGTTGACATGCTTTCCCTCCTCCCTTATATTCATATGCTTTTTTTTCCCAATGTAAATTCTCTGATATTCAGTAAGATATGAAACTCAAATAAAAATCTGCCTATTTGGGGCTTCCCTGGAGGCCTAGGGGTTAAGTCTTAGCGCAATCACTGCTATGACCTCAGTTTGATCCCAGCCAGGGAGCTGACCCATATACGGCACAGCAGCCCTCTCCAGTCTCACCCGCTGCTCCCCTCAGCAGTGTATTTCAATAGATCTGCCTGTTCTGCTCCCCACTCTGTCTCTGGTGAATCCCTTGAAACCACCCCCTTTCCCTGCACCTCTGGCCTACACCCCAGTTCTTCTACACGCAAAAAAAAAAAAAGTCTTCCTATTCCATGGCATTCAAAGAACTTTATCTCCAGTACTAACCCTGTGGTGCTGATTGGGTTCTGAATGCCTCACCATTCCATGTGTGACCCTCCCAAAGCTGCTGCACTGGGTCGAAGAGGAAGGCCTTCCCTGAATAGAGACCCACCGTTCTTCAGCTAAGAGAATACTGGTAGTTAAAAATTTGGCCATATATGTGGCATTTCTCCTCCATATAAACGGGCTGATATTACAATAATCATTGAGATCAGACTGAGAACCCACACCCAGAACACACCCAGAGTTTCCCAATGCTGCTTCAGGGGGTTCCTATACTCAGGACATCCCTAAGCTTAGACCTGGAGATAATGTCCTATGGGCATTAATTCAGCAATTGGTGGCTTCTTTTCAGCAAAAATTTCCTGCTTTCCAGGCAACATCTAGCTCTCACTCCCAAACAAACAGAAACAGAAATGCAAATAGCGTCAAGTCCCTGTTGGGGGTTGGGGGGGGCCCTATTGGTTGGATATTCGTGGGGTTTTTAGAGGCAAGCTTAAGAGTGCTTTTGAGACATCTTTACAGACACATCACCCAAAGCAGTGATAGTGAAGACAAAGATAAACAGCTGGGACTACATCAAATTAAAGAGCTTCTGCACAGCAAAAGAGACAATAACAAAAACAAAGAGAAACCCCACCAACTGGGAGAACATTTTTGCACACAACACTAATGATAAAGGACTGATCACAAAAATCTGCAAAGAGCTGATGAGACTCAACAACAACAAAGAAAATAATCCAGTCAAAAAATGGGCAGAAGAGCTAAAAAGAAACTTCTCTGAAGAGGAAATGCAAATGGCCAACAGGCATATGAAAAAATGTTCAACATCACTTGTAATCAGGGAAATGCAAATCAAAACTACCAATCAGATACCATCTTACACCAGTGAGAATGGCACATATTAAAAAAACTAGCAACAACAAATGTTGGGGAAGGTGTGGAGAAAAAGTAACTCTTCTGCACTGCTGGCGGGAGTGCAAACTGGTCCAACCACTATGGAGAGCTGTGTGGAGATTTCTGGACCTACTAAACATAGAGCTTCCATATGATCCAGCAATTCCACTCCTAGGTATTTACCCAAAGGACACCGAAACATCAATTCCAAAGAACACCTGCACCCCTATGTTTATAGCAGCACTATTTACAATAGCTAAGCTTTGGAAACAGCCCAAATGTCCAAAAATAGATGACTGGATCAAGAAGATGTGGTACATATACACCATGGAATATTACTCGGCATTCAAAAAAGATAAACACAGGCAATTTGCAGCAACATGGATGGAGCTGGAAGGGATCATGCTCAGTGAAATAAGCCAGAAAGAAAAAGAAAAATACCGGATGGTCTCACTCATAGCAGGAATCTAGAAAACTTAAATAAGGGACCAGGAAAATGAATAACTATAAGAAAGTGAAAATCAAAATCAACAAAAAACTATGAACCAGAGACACTTTTGGGGGGTGGAGGGCGGGAGGGGAGGGATTGGGGTCAAAATGGGGGGGTTGCAATTGTATGGGGAATATAAACATAAAATTTATTATTTAAGAAAAAAAAAGTGCTTTTGAATATCTATGTAGTATGATTGTATTTGTCTCTGGTAGTTAGCTCATTACCTAGAGTAGACAACAGAAATTATTTGTGTGTTGCTATGGTCTGAATATCTGTGTCCTCCAAATTCATATGTAGAAATCCTAATGCCAAGGTGATGGTATTTAGAAGTGGGCCCTCACGAGACCCCAAATCTGCCACCACCTCGATGCTGACGTTCCCAACCTTCAGAATTGCTTTTTAGAATTGGGTCCAGAGGAATCCAAACATACTTAGATTTTCAGATTTGAGGGTGTGAAATAAAGGGGTTGCTGAGGTCTGGTATTTTTGATCCTCTTTTCTCTATAAATGGTGTAGCATTAATACTCCACACTAAATACCATCATGAACTTACCCCACAAATTCAGAATTTGCTATGGCTTGGATAGAAATTAGGCTATCTGACTTCATTTATTCACTCAATAAATAAACATTGATTATTTACAATATTCAGTATTTTATAATTAAGCAAGTTACTGTTGCAAGGCGGATACACAAAGCAAGATAACCTTGTCTAAAAGAACCTTCAAATCTAGTTTCCACAATTATGTTCAGCTCTCATTTTCCGGCTATCCATAGAGTTTGTGACTTAACCATAGTTAAAACTAGATCCTTTGGATATGTTAAATTTCAGTAGAAAAACAGATCTCTTCTGATGATTTAATAGGATTAAGTAAATTCATATACAAAATCTGTTTTTAATAACATAAATGAGTCATTGATAAGGTACACTTTCTTATTAGAAATAGAAACATTTCTAATATAATAATAATCACTAATAAAATGAAGATTAAAAAAATGTAACGCCTGTAACTGCACCTGTATCCATGACTTCAATTTAATTTGGAACTCTAAAAAAATCTATGTGATAACTTCTGCTTCTGATAACAGTAGACTTGATAATTTAACACAGATTTCCTACTGAAAAAACTAAAAAAAAAACAGAATAAAAGGCATCTGCCTGAAAACATCAGAGAACTAAGGAGAGGGTGAAGGATTATCAACCCAGAATCCAGAAAAGCACAGAGGCCCTGTGGTGTCGCCTGGCCTCAAGGGCTGTCTTTTTCCTGGGGAAAGACACACGACAATTCCAGAGCTGCTGATTGGCCAATTAAAACAAAAAGTTATATCAAAGTCAATTATACGTCCTGAAAGATTCATAAATCATAAGTTTACAGCTCAGTTACTTTGTTTCAGTGTGAACAAAGACACCCAGACCAAAAATAGAACAACACCCCAGAAGACTCCCTCCTGGCCCTCAGGACAAGCCTTCCCACAGCAGTAGCAAGACTGGCCATCCTAAGAAATATGGCCAATGGCGCCTTCCTATTTGCTAACCCATTTTCTTTGCCTAAAGAATAACCTGTAACACTATTGCATACCACACAGGGCCTCTAGAACTTATTCTGCAGTCCCTTCTCCCGTCTTCCTCCCATCACACATTGCCCACACATACCAGGAACTTTCCCAAAGTTACATTGGGTATACTTTCTGGTCCTCTGTCACCTTTGCCAGCAGGTGTCCCTATCCTTCAAGACACTGGCTCAAAAGGTCAACTCTAATTTCCCTGATGTCTTTCCTGACATCTTGGGTAGATGAGTTACCCCTCCAGAATCCCCCTTTAGCAGTCCATTTGAATGATAATGATAGCTAACATTCATTATTACCTTTTTTAAAGATTTATTTATTCATAAATGTACTGGGGTGTAGGCCAGAGGTCTGGGAGTGGGGAGACAGGATTCACCAGAGACAGAGTAGGGAGCAGAACAGGCAGATCTACTGAAATACACTGCTGAGGAGCAGCGGGGGAGACAGGAGGTTAACCTGGCCTGGGATCCAACCCAGGGGATCCAACCTGGCCTGGGATCCAACCCAGGCTGCAGTGGCTGGCTGGCAATGGCTTGATGGTGTTTAGACCTTAACCCCTGTGCCACCAGGGAGGCCTCTACAGCTAACTTATTACAGAATGCTTATTATGTGTGCAAGTACTTTACATTTATTATCTCACATTTACCTATAACAGATTCACTAGGAAAGCATTAATATTTTCAAACCTGACTTTTCAACTGAAGACAAAGAAGCTTAGCCAGATAAGGTAAATTGACCATAGTTTCATCTCCCGCGGAAGGATGAGGCTCAATTTGAGTTTTCCACTGTTCAGTGAGTGGCTCTCAGAGGGCATCACAATCGATTTACAGGGTTGTAAATAAACCGTCTGCTGAGTCCCTGGTCCCAGACTCGCCGGTTCAGCAGGATTCGAGGGGGCCCAGTAATTTGCATTTCTAAAGATTCCCAGGTGATGCTGTAGGCCCATACCGCACTTTGAGAAGTTATTTCACATCTTTACTCCAAAGTGTGCCCCAGAATCTACAGGATCCGCAACCCCTGGAAGTTTGAAAAAATGCACCTTTCAGAGGGTCTCACCCCAAAGCTACTGAATTCGATTCTGCATTTTTAACATTATCCTTGGGGATTCGTGTCCGCATTAAAGTTTCCATGTGCTTGTCATACACTTTAGAACAGAGGTGGACTCTAAAGAAGGCAACAGGTACATTGTAATCTACAGAGAGCATCTCTGGGGCAAGTGTTAGCAGTGTAGCTCCATCACCCCAGAGCTAGAGCGAGGCCCGGCGGGGACAGCTGGGCGTGGCGCGTCGTTCGGCTACCCCAGGCCTCCGCACCGCCACGACTCTTTCCGGCTCCTTCACTCCGCGCCCGTCCCGCCCCCGTCCTGCCGATCCGCGCCGTTAATTGGCCAGAGGAGTCCTCGAGTCCCGCCCCGGACTCCATTCGGCCCAGCCTCCCCGTGAACGGACTCCTGCCTGGAAGCCAACGCCAAGCTCTTCCCAGCGTCAGCCCGGGTCCTCCGGACCACCGAGCTCGCCTCCTAGAGCAGCCCTGGCGGGGGCACCCGCTTCTTCCTCTCTCCACGGCCAAACAACCGCCACCCGGAAGTGCAGTGGTCTCCGCGGTTCTTGGCGTCCTTTTCGGAACGCGTGTTTTTAATTTTTCACTCACCCCCTCAGACGATTCTTACATGCCAGCGACACTTTCTCAGAGATGGGGGAGGCACAGTGCCTGTCCGCCTACAGGTTGTACGACTGCTGTACGTCCGAAGAGCTGGAGGCTCCGGGGCCGGCAGGAAGCAGCTGTCCCGGACGGGTGACGTCCGTGCGGGCCGCCGCCGTGCAGGCCCGCAGGTGTGTGAGGATCTGGCTGGCGAGCACTCTAGGCAGAAGAAAAATAGTCGTCATGAAACCATCTGCGCGTGCAGAGCGCGTGGGTGCCTGGAGATGAAGCTGGAAAGGTAAGCAGGAGCGATCCTGAAGGACTCCGTGTGCATGATAAGGTATGATATAGATATGCATAAGATATGTAAACACTCTGCTGTAGCCTAAACGGTATTCTAATCAAGATATACGAGCTCTATTTTGCATTTTAAAATACATCCGGCAGCATCGGAGGAGGAAAAAATTTGAAGGCTTTTGGAGTGTGGTGACAAGGGAGGCACACGGTGGCCTGCACATCCTTATTAATAGCCTAGCAGTTACACCCACATTAGTATTTACATTAAAATGTAACTTCATGAGAGAAAGGCTTTGTCTATTTAGTTTATTTGGCTTAGCCTGCACTTGGAAGAGTACCCGCGCACAGTAGGCCCCTAACTTGTTTGTTGGATGGATCATTCCGTTTTTGATAGGACTGTCTGGGAAGTAGAGACTGATGACTTAAAACCATGGAATAATACAAGTAGTGAAAACTTGTTCAGTGGCTGTTTGTTGAGCACTCTGGGCTGACCACCAAGGTGTTGTAGGGCAGAAGTTCAGGCTCCAACTTATGGTGTAGTTAAGGGAGGGCACAGAACTCAGAATCTGCTAAGCAAGCACCAGTTCCGGTTTTTAGCTCCACCCACAAAAAAAGGTCCGTTTTCTTTGTCTTCCCTCACATGACTGAATTTGAGTGGTACAAGCTTTTTCACTTTTCTTGAATAGTACCATCAGTCGAATCCATATGGCCATGACTTTAATTTAATGCTGTTTATTACTTCATTATATTGATGTTTTCATCACTGAATAAAACCATCTCTGACGTTTTTGTTGTTTGTTTACTTTCATAGTTATGCAGGACTGAGTATCTTCATGTCTTTTTTGTGTGTGTGGTGGGGGCTCTCTTGAATATTTCCAAAGGTGTATATTACTAGTCAAATGACTTAAAACATGCTGCCTCATGGCTTTCCAAAAAGTTAATTATGGCCAACAGCAATGTCCTCTTGCTGGTGCTAGGCACTTCGCTGTGCTCAAAGGGCATAATCTGAGCAAAATAAACACAGATCCTGCCCTCATGTAGCTTCTGTCTTCAGACTAGTACAGGACAGTGGCATTAATCAGGTTATCACAGAAGTGTAGAATCACAAACTCACAAATATTGTGAATTAAAAATACTGGCCACTAGCCAAGTGGCTGAAACCAGCTTTACAATTTTAGTTTGGGGAGTTTCATTTTTAATTTTACCACTATCTAAAAATGGCTTCCCAGGATTGCTCTGCCTGTTTTTGATTTTTGATTTGTAAATTTCTAGTTCACCTACTACTTAAGTTCCCTATTGTAAATCAACAAAAAATTTCACAAATTTAGGCCATTACTTTGTAAAGATGAATAACTATACTTAAGAAACTGTCCTATTTTTTCCTTTAACTTACTCCTCCTTTACTCTGGCCCTGTCTCCTCTTATCCAAAGAGGCAGCAGTAACCTAGTGCACGGGAGGGGGGGGTGGGGTGGGGGTTGGGTATAAATCCTCCCTCCTCCACTTCTAGCTCTGTGACCTTGGCAGATTACTCAACCCCTCTCAGCCTCAGTTTCCTCATGGCTCAAATGAAGCTAATAAAACTACGTTCCTGGTGTGACTTTAGCCCTATGTAATATGAATATTCCTCCTCTATGTGGGAAAAAGGGAAGAAAGCAAAATAGTACCTGGCTCTTGGTAGATTTTATTACCTAGGTAATAAGCCAATAACTTGCCTACCTAATTCACAAAGTTATGAGAATAAAAATACTCAAAGGGGGTCTCCCTGATGGCGCACGGGTTAAGCACTGCACTATGAAGCAATCCGCAGCCTCTGCAGCATGAGTTCGATCCCTGGCCAGCCAGGGAGCAACCCACGTAGAGGCAGACTCTCCTCCTGACTAGCCCTCTGCTCCCCTCAGCAATGTATTTCAGTCAGTCTGCCTGTTCTGTCTCTGGTGGGTCCTCTCACCCCCCACATCTTTGGCCTGTACCCCAGCTCTTCCATGCATAAATAAATAAATCTTTAAAAAAAAATAAAAAGTACTCAAGGGCTTTGCAAACATGAAAAGTATGGTAATCCTCCTCTGCATTGCCCTCTTAATATTGTTTGCTTTCATGTTTCTTCAACATATACATATTGAACCTTGTGCTCATAGATGGAGATGCAAGGATAAACAAGATGCAGTTCAGTCCTTACAAGAGCTTACATTCTAACGTGAGCACTGTGGGTCAAGGTAAAAAGAACTTGAAAGTCAGTACCCATACACTCCCATCACTGCACACAACTCAGATGCAGAGGAGCCAGCAGCTTTCTCCCTCCCATTCTTTGTTGTTTCTCACTGCCCTTGATCCCACAGCCTTCTCTATCCGGCGCACCCGGAGGGTGCTTTATCCAGAAGATTGGACCCTTAATGGGGAAGAGCTTTTCTTTAAGTTACCATTAATAGTATTCCCTATTATGAACTCCCGTCTCTGTGTATGGTAAACACGTCCAGTTTGCTATCCTCCTGCATTGTTACGAGTCAGCTGGGGTCCTGGAAACCCTGGTACTAGTTGTGAGTTTCCGGCAGGCACTGAAAAGTCACGTAGCTTCCAGGTTCCTAGACTTCTGAGAGGGCTGGAGGGGGAGGGGAGGGGCGGCTAGACTGGGCCCTAAAATTGTTACCCATGTCGGGTTCTCTACCTTTCTCCTTTAGTTATTTTCTGTCCGGGTGCTAAAACGTAGTCTCAGAGCTGCCTGCGGAGCGACCCTCGCCGGGCGCGCGGAGGACCACTGGGGCCCGGAGGGGCGGGGCCCGCCGGAGTGTGCGCACTAGTGGCCCGGCGCGGCCGCCGGCTCCGGGAGGAAGGGGCGGGGCGCAGCCCGGTGGAGGGCGGGCTCCCGGTCGGCGACGAGGGTCGATTGGCTCTGCTAAGGGGAGGGGGAGCGCCGCTTCCGCCGGACACCGGAAGTGCCCCGGCCAGCAGGCCATGGAGCCAGTGGCACAATAGTGTCTTGAGGTGTGAGGATTGCGGGGGTAGCGGCCATGGAGGCCGTGCTGAACGACCTGGTGTCTGTGGATGACTTGCTGGTGAGGCCTGGCCCGAGGGGAGCAAAGGGAATATTCTGACGGGAGGGTTCTTGGGAGAGTCAGGTAAGGGCTAAATCCTCTCCCCCAAGCAGCTTTTCTGCGGAAGCCGAACTACTACTCCCGGCAGCCTCTGCAGCGTCCGGCTCCTGCCCGACACGCCGCTTTGTCGTAGAGGCTAATGGAAGTTGTAGTTTCCTGCACCTCGCCTCAGACTCAGGGCCTTGGAGTCTGATGGGGAAAACCCGACGGGTTCCGGGTGCGTGCAGGAGTTGAGAGGTCAGGGTATTGACACCTGTTTTTTAAGCGATCCTTCAGTGGCGGGGGAGCTTGGCAGCCATCGTAAAGGTCTGTATATTACTGAGTCCGGCCCCATACTAAGTGCATTACAAACGTAACTCAATCTTTGTAGCTCTAGGAGGGAGGCACTATTTTTATCCCCGTTTTGCAAAGGAGAAAAGGACCAGGCCCGGCAGGGCGGGGCGGCGTGGGGGAAGCAGGCTCTTCGAGGGACCGCGTGGGCCGTTGTTGAGCAGCTCTGACAGCTTGTTTACTGTTCAGCCACTCTGGGTCAGCTGCTCCGAGAGCGGTGCCTGGAGCCACCAGCAGGTGGCATATCTGCTCGGTACCACAGGGGGAGTGATGCAGAGCGGGGGACTGACCAAGGAGACATCCCGCTGCCAAGAAGCAGAGTGCCCGGGTCCCGGGGAGGGAGGAGATAGCAGAGGTGGGTTAGGTACCAAGACCTGCGAGGGAAATGTGGCAGAGAATGGGAAGATGACGTGTACTGGAAATGGACCCTCAGATAGAGAATGGTTTTCCCCTTCTTTCTAAATGACTCCTCTCCTCTCCTGTGACAGAAGTTTGAAAAGAAATTTCAGTCTGAGAAGGCAGCAGGCTCGGTTTCCAAGAGCACGCAGTTTGAGTATGCCTGGTGCCTGGTTCGAAGCAAGTACAACGATGACATCCGTAAAGGCATTGCACTGCTGGAGGGTGAGGTGCTAGGCTACCTGACTCTCCCCTGCCCAACTGCCTCCCTCCATCTCAAATGCTGGGGTTCTTTTTCAACGTAGGACCCTGTAGTACAGTCACCTGATAGTTATTTTCCTGTAAACTCACTACAACAAAGGGCTATACTTAGCCTGATTTTCCCGGTGTACTTTTTGTTAATTACTACCTCATCATTGTTTTGCCAAACAGAGTTGTACCATGTTATTCCCCATGGGACTTTGGTGATCTGGTAGTCTAATCATAAGGAAAATGACTTGTCTGGAGGTCACACAGCTAATTAATTAATGGCTCGATTGGAACTAGAAGCGCCTGTCTTGTGTGTCCTGGTCCTGTGCTCTTTGCCCCCCCACCATATTGCTTATTCAGCAGCTGTTGTTTAAAACTTTTTGTGGGGATGGTGTGGGAAAAGTGCAGAAGACAGTCCCAAAAACCTGTGAGCAGATGGTGTTTTTTTTTTTTTTAATTGGACACCTATTTGCCATTGGGTTTGAATGGGTCACCATGTGTCTGAGGCCACAGTACTTGACCTTTAGATTTCTCTGTACTCCCTTTCTCTTAGTCAAGTAATCATAGATGAGCAAACAGTCAGTGATCTACTAAAGGGAGCCGAAAGAAAGTCAGTAAAAATAAGAGTCTTCATACAAATAATCTCACCTTACTTGTCTATTTTGCCAATTCAGATTTTGAAGGCTTCCTTTCCAGCAGGGCACAGCTGTAGAAGTGGCCTCCTCTCGTGCCTTTCTAGTTGAGAAGATGGTACAGATGCTGGCACATCTATAAATACCTGCAGTGCCCCTTAGCAACAAATTCTAATGTGGAGCACAGCTGAACACATAGGTTCTGGGCAGTCACCGATTAAGGGTCAGGTGAAGTGATTCAAAGAAGACCAACTGGAGATGAGTTTTGAGGGGCGGGAACACAAACTCAAGTTTACACTAATCTGGGCAGCGGGTAACCATGGTTAAAAAGATACAGCAGATGCCGAAACTGACTTGCTATGCCCTGGGCATCTCCAGTGCCTTGATCTCCTTTCAGTTTCCTTGGGTGAACCAGAGTTTACTAGTGTTGATGCCAGCGTGATGGGGCAGCCTGGCATCGTGCTTCCCCAGAGCCCTGACAAAGCAGAGTGTGACCGGAGCCGAAATAGAGGCTCAGGGCAGTAACTTTCTGCCTGGATCACAGAGGGATTCAGAGAATGGAGGGTCTCTGGTTCACAAGTGCTAGTAAAGGAGAGACATGGTTTTCACCCTCTTACCCCCCCACCCTCCGCCCCACTCCCTGCCCCAGAGTTGCTGCCCAAAGGGAGCAAAGAGGAGCAGCGGGATTATGTCTTCTACCTGGCGGTGGGCAACTACCGGCTCAAGGTAAGGCACAGAGCTCCCCTCCTGCCTGGATGGGTGAGGGGCACAGCAACCCCATCTCTCCCCTCAAAGGTAGAGCCCTGGCCAGCAGGAAGGATGAAGAGGACAGTTGGCAGGGGGCGGTGTTGGGTACAGAGGTGCAAGGTGATAGCTGGCCAGGATGTCAAGGGAAGGTGAGAGAGACAGAGGATCAGGGTGCTGAGGGTGTGGGGAATGAGGTGACGTCAGGATCGGGGTGCAGCCTGAACCTCCGGTTGTTATCTCCCCCAGCTTATCGCCCCCACACTGTTGGGGTTGTTTGTGGACTCTACTCCATTGGGTGGGGCTGGAGTGAGGGAGGGGGTGGAGGTAGAGGGAGGAGCCCCCAGGGCAAGTGAAGGGAAGGCCCCCTATGGGCAGAGAATGAGAGAATACTGAGGGCTGTGCTCATCTGTTTCCTGACTGCAGGAATATGAAAAGGCCCTGAAGTATGTGCGTGGGCTGCTGCAGACAGAGCCCCAGAACAACCAGGCCAAGGAACTGGAGCGGCTCATTGACAAGGCCATGAAGAAAGGTGAACACCTTCCCCTCTGCCCTTCTCCTTCTGTCTCCCTCAAATTCCCACCCCTTCTCTCCCTGGCCCAAGTCATCCACAGATCCCTCTCAGTTTTGCTAAGTCCTCTTCCCTCTCCCATGCTGTGTCCTCCAGTTTCTCTTCTAATTGACCCCCTCCAAGCACTTCCTCCTCAAACCCCCAGAAGTCCTTTCCCCAACCTATGGGGTCCCTCACCCTGTGACTCCAGATGGGAGGGCACGTCTTTGGGTGAGGAGTAGCTGGCTGGGAAGACGTGATAGCCAGGATCCCTGCAGGATGAGGGCGGGGCTCCTGACTCTTCCTTTTCCCAGATGGACTAGTGGGCATGGCCATTGTCGGAGGCATGGCCCTGGGCGTGGCGGGACTTGCTGGACTCATCGGACTTGCTGTATCCAAGTCCAAACCGTGAACAAGACCACACCTCCGCCTCTGCCCACAAAGCCCGGGAGCTGTGAAGGACACTTGAAGAGGGGCTGCCCCATCCTTGCTGTCCCTTTCTTCTGCACCCCCCATCACTGTCCTTTACGGCCTTCAGCCTCCTTTCCCCAGAAACCTGCCCTTTAGCCCCAAATCATGTACTTTGGGATGAGTGTAAATAAAATTGGGCTTTGGCTCTGGAGCCTCCGTGTCTGTGTTGAGGAAGGGGCGGGTGGATTCCATCGGGCACAGAGGGTGTGAGGTCATGTGTGGTTCTTTGCTGTTCTGTACTCTCCTATCCTCTAGGCTGGCGTGGGGTTCTCCTTTGTCCACTGAGTGCCCAGATCCCACACCCTTCCTTCCTCCCCCTCCCCCAATGTCATGTCCTTGAGCCGAAGTAGGCAGCATGGGGCTGTGGCCTTTGCACAGCCCCAGAATCCTGGGCGAAAGCAGTGACCGGAGATGGGAGGGCAGAGCTGAGGGGACAGGCTGCGATTTATGTCTCCCGTCTCCTCTGACCCACTCAGCTGCCTCTCAGCATGTGGAGTTTTCCACCCCGGGGGGCCCCCCACTTAGTTTCCTCCAGAACCAACGCCCTTCCCTCCCTTTGTCTTCCTGCATCTTCTCCTTCCTCCTACGTTATCCTTCTTAGGAGGGGGGCACTGCGGTGGGGGAAAGAAAATGGGCATTTGGCCTGGAATAGCAGGGGCCTTGGGAGAGGTTAGGACCCCAGGACACCCCAGTTGTAGATGGAGGGTTGAGACCCAGTTCCCACCCCACTGGCTTTTCCCGCCCCCCACCCGCCCCGTGCCAGGCTCAGCATGGGCCTGTCTTGCTTCACTGCATACCTCTCGTTCCACAGCCAGGCAGCCCACAGCCAAGCCTGCCGAGCTGGGGGCCAGGGGGTGGGGTGGGGTGGGGAGGCAGCACCTCGGGAACTTGGAGGAACCTCATATGGGGAAAGGGGAGCAGTTCCAGCTGAGTGATGTGCTCTGTAACTGCAGGGGTGTAGGATCAGCCCCTCAGAGACAGCTCCAGCCCCACTTGCCAGAGGGAACTAAAATGTCCTGGCTGTGGCCGTGGGGCAGGAAAGGAGACCGTCTGCAGCAGACGGTGCTCGGCCTGGTTTGGGGTGGGGACCCGGAGGTTTCTGATCTAGCCTCATTAATAGAGCTGGTAACAATTCTGATAACTCAGCTGCTTAGATTAGCCAGGATCTTGTTTTGCACCTGTGGTTTATCCCCCTCGGCAACCCTTGGCAGCAGGACCAAGCTCATTGCCGAGAGTCAAAGCTCAGCCACCAAGGGGAAATATTCAAATTCAGGAAGTTGAAGTTTAGAGCAACCCTGGTGGGCCTGTGGGACCCAGACCTGATAGTCACCAACCATGGAGGACTTGCTGCCCACGGGGAGCTCTGATCTGTGGCCATAACTACTCCAAGCTATGAGGTAAGTGGTAACATTTCTAGTTCCCAGAAGCAGAAATGAGCTCAAGGGGCTCAAACTTGCTACTGGCGTCGCTTTGGTAACTGATGGGGTTGAACCCAAGTTGTCTGAACCCCAGAGCTGTGGGTTTCTCCTCAATATTCCATTCCCTTACTCAACCTTCCTCTTCTTGGAACTCAGATACCCCAACCTCTAGACCTTTTGAGTTTCTTGATCATTCTCACCAACATCCAGAGGGGCCGGCTCCACTCCCTCGATCCTTCCCATTGAAGGCAGCACTGGGCCTGGCTGTGGTCATTCTCTGTCCCTGTCCCTGTGTCTCGTCTCTCAGTCACCTTCTCTCTCCTGGTCCCTCTTAGTGCATTGTCTGGCCCCTGAGCAAAGCTGAGTCAGAGACAGAAGCTTCCCCTTGGCTCCCAGTGCCTCCCATGGGGGCCCCTCCTTGGCTGCATCCGTTAGTCACTCCCCAGTAAGTCCTCTCCCCCCACCCTCATGGGGCGGGGAGCCCGGGGCAGCCCAGAGGCCGGGGGAGGGAGTGGACTTTTGGCCCGCTTCGTTTATTCCCTCCATCTCCTGGTCAGCAGCTACTGCACGCTCTTGGCTCATTCCTCCCTCTGACCGGCCTGTGGGGAAGCAGAAACCCAGAGAGAGGGAAGGAGACAGAAACTGGAGACAGACCTCAGCTGAAGAGGCAGAGGCCACAGCTGGCTTTCTGCCCACTCCTGCCCTCTCTCCCCAGTTGGCCTTAGCAGCTCTCAGCCACAGCTCCAGGTACCCAGGAACTGGGACTTAGCTCCTCCCCTTCTCTGGGGCCCCCAGTGCCCCTCGGGCTGGTGTCTCACCATGTCGATGGCTGTGGAGACCTTTGGCTACTTCATGGCAGCCCTGGGGCTGCTGATGCTGGGGGTGACCCTGCCACACAGCTACTGGCGAGTGTCCACCGTTCACGGGAGCGTCATCACCACCAACACCATCTTCGAGAACCTTTGGTACAGCTGTGCCACCGACTCCCTTGGAGTCTACAACTGCCGGGAGTTCCCGTCCATGCTGGCCCTCTCTGGTACGGGGCAGGGAGAGCACCAGGGAGCAGCGGGTGGTGGGGATGGGGAGAGACCCTGGCTAGGGTGGGTGCTGCTGTGTTCTGCACTGGGTGCCATAGGGGCACCTGGGCGCCTGGAGCTGCGGCAGAGGCCTGGTCACACATGGCCCCTGCCCTAATGTGGCACTCTTCATCATCCCAGTGCAAGCGCCGAAGTAGCCTGCCAGGTCAGGCCTGCGGTTTACTAGCTCTGTGCTTGGGCAGGTGACAGAATGAGGGTGACAACGGCACGGGTTCGTAGACGGTCTTGAGAGCTGTACAAGCTGGAACATGTGAAATGTTAATATGCGTCCACATCTACATATACACAGTCAATTTTTGTGTTTCAGTTTTAGGGTGGGAGTGCTAGGGCTTGGGGGTGAAGGGGGAGCCTCATCTTAGAGTCTTAGGGGTTGAGACACTTGAAAGTCTGAATAGCCTCAGCAGGCTTCTACGACGACATTGGTTCAATGTCCCGGCATGTTCTAAAGGACTTTTAAAAGAAGTCCTCTTGCCGGTCTCTGTCTGCCGGGAGCAGCAGCGTGCCTGTGCTCGGGTTCTCGGGGCAGTGTGTTTTTTTAAGATACTTGGACTTTACAGCTTACAGCTCTTTGGGCCCAGAAAGATTCTCCTCTGTGGCTATAGCATCTGCCTGCTTTCCTGCTTGCCCTAGAGTGGTGCTCACCATCATCCTTCCGTCAGCCAGGCCAAGAGGGATGACCTGGAACCCTATCCTATGCAGGGGAGATCCCAACCCCTCACCAGGAGCTCCCCCAGAGCCATCTTGCTCTTCCAGGTCCCCCACTGCAGGTGCTGGGTAGTACAGGAAGGAACTGAAGTCAATATTGAAATCACCCCAGGAATGTCTCTGTGCCCCCACTATTCCCAGAATTTCCTGAGGCAGCTGCAGGGGGTTTGTGCTTTACCCCTTTTCTAGAACTTACTGTTTTTAAGGAGGTACCCCCCTCCCCAATAAGCACCTATAAAAGCTGAATACCACCTGGGGCTGAAGCCCAGAATGCCAGGTGAGGAAGGGACAAGAAGTGGGCAGCTCAGCAGTCACCCACACAGGTGGGAGGAGGGACCTTTGCTGTGAGCCTGTCTACCCAAGGGAGCCCGCCTGGACCTGCTGCACTTGGCCTGAGAAAGTACGAGTGTGCGTGAAGGACGCACAAGGAAAGCCACAGCTGTGAATGCACCTGAGGGGGACAGAAGCTTCCAGGGGTGTGCTTGGTACTTCCCCTACATCATTTCTGCATTTTTACAGCAGCCCTCCTGGTGGGGCTATCCATAACCATCTTACAGCAGCTGGGAACTGCAGAGTAAGCACTGGCCTGCCCAGAGCCACACAGGAGGCAGAGGGGCTGGACCCCAGACTCATGTCTGAGGCCAGAGTGGCCGACACGTTCAGGCTGGGTTTTGACTGTCATCTACCTAGCCCCAGTCTCTCAGCCCATGGTCTATGGCCCTTCAATAATCTGCCCATTTGAGCTACCTAGAGATTCAGAGCTGGTGCCCCAGGTGGAGACTAGCAAATGAATGAGGGTAAGATAAGGGGTAGGGGGAGAGGGTGGGAATTCAGAGGGAGTGGCTGGGAGTGAGAAGGTGCTCCCAGAGAACTTTGTCCCTCCTCCCTCCCTACCCCCCAACTCTTCACCATTTCACATCCTCCTGGCAAGAACCCAGCCTTTCCCCTTCAGCACCAATGGCATTGCCCCACCCGGGAAAGGGGTGCAAGGTCCTTGTGTGTGCTTGGCAACTATCAAAGACAGAAGGGGGAAGTAGGGGCCAGAGAGTGATTCAGCTTTGAGATCTTTCAGCTTTGAGTGAAGGGAAACTGAGCCTGGGAAATCGCATGAACTAAACTGCCTGAGACCAATTCTGGGCACGGGAATCCCACCTTCCTTCCAGATCAGAACCTGGTCTCTACTGAGTGACCCATAAGCCACTGCTGCCCCCTACTGGTAGCTTTGGGAAAAATTCTGTTGAGGATGGGAAGTGAGGGGTACTAAGGAGGCAGACATGGAAGGAGCTGGAGGTGCTCCCGTGCAGTTTCTGTAAGACACAGCAGAGCAGCACCGATGACCTAACAGCAGTGGGGGTGGCATTCTCTCTCCCCGCCATGGTCATTTGAGAATGTCTGGCCAATCTGAGTGTCCCTTTCCTGGGGGCTGCTACTGACACCTAGTGGGTAAGAGCCAAAGATTCTGTTAAACATCCTTCAAAGCACAACAAAGCATTATCTGGCCAAAGTGTCAGTAGGACATAGAGAAGCCCTGAGGTATAGGTGTGCCAGTGTTGGGGGGGGGCGGCACGGAGACTGGGGTGAACTCCTAGGAAAGAAGGAGGTATGGCCTCTCAGCCTGTTGGCTGGATGGAGCCCAAAGGGAAAGGAGAGGACTAAGGGACTAAGGTCTGAGCTGCAAGGGACTCGCTTTGAATGGTAAAGGGGAGAGGGGATGGTGGGGGTTGGGGCTGGTTCAGGGACTGATGGCTGTACCTGACCTCCCCAGGGTACCTCCAGGCCTGCCGGGCACTCATGATCACCGCCATCCTCCTGGGCTTCCTGGGACTCCTCCTAGGCATTCTGGGTCTGCGCTGCACGAATATCGGGAGCAGGCTGCTCTTCAGGAAGGCCAAGGTGGCGGCCGCTGCGGGGTCCCTACACATAGTGGCTGGTAAGTGGGGAGAGCTATGGGTGGGCCTGAGCTGAGGTGGGAGGGGGTCTGGTGGCCCTCAGCAGCAGACCTTCTCCAGCTCCCCACTCCAGCGCTTGCCTCACCTTCCCCTCCACATTGACACGTGCCCTTCCATGCTCAGCCCAGCCTCACCCCGGGCCACCAATCCCCTAGCTGTGAGTCAACAGTGGCAGTGCTTCTTGAATCCCCACTAGGAGTGAGGCTTCAGTGAGGTTTGGAAGGGACTCCAAAGGCGAGTGGGCGTATGCCTCCTGAGCTCCCAGCCTGGCTTAGAGGATCAGAGCCGGGCATGTTGCAGGCAGTAACAATATCGTACGACTCTCATCCCTTTCCAATTTGCAAAACATTTCTGCGCATATCCGTCACTGCAAGCCCTTGAGAAAACTGGGGCTTGGCCTGGTCTCCAGATGTAGAGACAGGCCCAGAGAAGTCAGATGGCTCCCTGGAGGACAAGCCCCCAGTGAGTGTCCCAGCTGGGTAGACCCTGGATGGGGCAGAGTCCAAGCAGGAAGCTAAGTGATCAGGCGCTAGAGGTAGGAAGGAACAAGATGGGTCAGGGGTAAAAGCACACGTGTGGAGCTGAGGGCAGGAGAGTTGCAGACTACGCAAGAAAGCTGCCCGCTACTGGGTTCTGGTGCTGAATGGAGAAGCTAACTTTTGACTTTAGAAAACAAAACAGGGCCTCCCCGGTGGCGCAGCAGTTGAACGCTGGGTTGCAAAGCTGCCCGCAGCCTCTGCAGTACCAGTTCGATCCCCGGCTGCTCCCCGGCCACCGCAGGAGGGTCCCACATGGCGCGCAGACCTCTCCTGCCGCCTGCTGCTCCCCTCAGCAGTGTACTTCGTCAGTCTGCCTGCTCTGCTCTCCCCTCTGGCTCTGGTGAATTCTCTCACCCTCCCGTGCTTCTGGCTGTACCCAGTGCTTGTATGTACAAATAAAGAAAGAAAACAAAACAAAACAGTTATGAGATGGGGAGGGGAAAAGAAAACTTGTCCTTGGACTCGGCATGCCACATCCTGCATTGGGCCTGGGGTTCCAGCTCCTGACGCAAGTGCCATGCTCTTGTCCCCCAGGTTTATGCGGGATGGTGGCCATCTCCTGGTACGCCTCCAACATCACCAAGGAGTTCTTCGACCCCTTGTTTCCGGGTACCAAGTGAGTGTGGGAGCCCCATGCTCAGGGGAGGGGAGTGGGCAGGAATCAGCACCACTCATGACCTGGTCCTTGTCCCCAGGTACGAGCTGGGTTCTGCCCTTTACCTCGGGTGGAGCGCCTCCCTGCTTTCCATCCTGGGCGGCTCCTGTCTCTGCTTCAACTGCTGCTGCGGCGAAGATGAGGACCCTGCCCCAGATGCCAGGAATAGGTGGGCAAATAGGGTGGGGTGGGTGCGGGACGCGGGGTGAGGGCTACATCTCCATCTGACCCTAGCTTCCTCCCATGACAGCTCCTGGGTTCCCTACAAAGTCGCCACCAAACCCACGTCCAACCACACTGTCCGACTGCCCCCCTCGGATGAAGGTGACAGCAGCTTTGGCAAATACGGGAAAAATGTTTACGTGTAGCAGCCTGACCTGTGACCCCATCTGCTCCCAGTGGAGAGGGGTTCCCGAAACCCTGGGCTCCAGGTGCAGCCCCGGCTGGTGGTTACAACCTTTACGGTTATTTAGCGGTGTTGGGGACTCAGCATGCTGACCAGAGGCCACGCCCAGCTCTGACCACACCTCAGGCCCTGCCTCTCCCGTCGGAGCTCCGCCCTGGCCACGTCTCTTTGGTCTGACCCAGCGGACCCTCCCAAATGAAGAGCTCACCAACTTAGAACTCACAGTGGACTTCTGAGGCTGGGCCCCTCCTTTATTTTGAAAATGTGCACTCTCGGTTGCAAGACCTTGTCAGGAGGCTGTAAGGTCCCCCCCAAGGATTTGTATTGTACGTAATTTCATGCATAAATAAATGTTATTGGGGACTGTTCTAGAGTAGGGGTGTCAAGAAGCACCTTTAAGCCAAGCAAGAGGTGGCTAGGGCAGTGCCAGGGTAATTTCAGTTCTTGGAGCCCAGGCTGTCACCTGCCCCTCTCCATGGACTGTTTCATCCAGCAAAGGAGAAGGGGTGCGAGTCTTTTCAAGTTGTGCATTCTTACAATGACTGATGCAGTCCTCAAGGAGCAGAGACTGGAAGCCCACTAGGAAATGAAAACAGCAGAGCAAACCCCTTGCTAGCCCTGAGACAAGTTCCTCCTCTGACGCTCTGCCTTTCTCACCGCTGTGCACTCTAACCCGGGCCTCTCTCCCAAGCTCCAGAAGCATATGCCCTGGGTGTTCCACCAGGTTGGGCAAATTCATCAGATTCATCACTTTCCCGCCCAAATCGCAGTTCCTGTCTCCCTGTTTTCAGCACTGCCAACCTCTGAGTAGCACGCGTTGACAATGCCCATCATCGATCATCTGTGGCTTCCTTCCCTCCCCCTCACCACCCCCCAGTCAGCTGCCGAATCCCACTGATTCCCCCTTCGCAGTATTTTTCACACCCACCTATTTCTCTCCCTTCACTGCCTGGCCCTGGATGAGGCCTTCATCTTCTCCTGCCCACACTCATCGCAGGACTCCCCCGAGTGAGCTTCTGACCCAGCTCTGTAACCTACTCCATACTCCTCTACTGCAGCACCATTCCCTGGCCTGCCGTGGCAGCTCAGGAACAACAAAAACCAGCCCAAGTAAAAAAGCCTAAGACAGACACTAAGACCTTGCCACATGCCTACCTTTCTATCCCTCTTTCTTACTATTACTCTGTGCAAAGTGCTCTCCCGGCAAACTGGAGACTGCCCCTGGCCCTGGACACACGCTCTACCGGGCTCCTCCCAGAAACTGGTGCTTTGGGAACTGTTCCCTGCATAAAGGGCTCCATGGCCGAGAAGACTGCCAGAATCTGTATATCCCACTCCCCTTGATCCTCTTGCTTTCATAGTTTGTGGATTTATCTGTGACTAAGTTCAAAGTCCATGTGCAAGGGATTACACAAGAATGTGGACTGTGGGAAGCACCTATCATGGGGGGACCCTTGGCATACCCTACTTCGGCCAAGTACTGGGCCATGTGACTTGCTTTGTTAGTGGGTTTCTCTCTCAAACATGAGACACACACTAGAAGTCTCACAATTCTGAAAGGCTGTGAAAGCTCCACCGGATGGATGGCTGCCCCCCCCCCCCCAGTGAATGACAAAAGTTAGTTACAGCCCCTGATGCCACCCCGCCCCCTCCCACCCAAACTCTCCTTCTGCCCCAGCCCACAGCTTCCGCCTCTTCTCCTCTCCCCTTTCAGAAAAACTAAGTTGAACCAGATTTCACATTTGAGCATTTAAGTATGCGCCTTAATATAGTCACTAGGTTAAGTTTCAATTTCTTTGTCCACCATGCATGATCACAAGGCTATAAAGGGCTACTGACACATGCTTCCTAACAACACTTATCTTTTTTGCTGGAAGGTTGAATGGACACTAAGACATGGCCCCCACCATCAAAGAATTTATAAGCTAGGAGCAAACAGGAATGTAAGCAGTTAGTTTCCAGACAGGGGCTAGGGGTTGGGGCAGTTCCAAGGAACATCCTGTCTTTGAGGGAACTGGCTGTGAAAAAGCTTAATGACAAACTGCTTTCGATCCTGGGCAGTGATGTAAAAAACTATCCGTTACTCAGTAGTTGCCAGGCACCAGGCACTAAGTTAAATGTGATCTATTTAATTCTCATGGTATCTGGAGGCAGCCTAACAAGCCAGAGAGGCAAAGTAACCTGTCCCAACTACACAGTCAATAAGGAGTGGGACCAAGATTTCAAGACTAAAGACACAACTGGCCTGCTTCCCAGAATTCCTGGCTCCAAACTAATCTAAATCAATTAAATTCAATGCTCATTGAGGTCTTTAGGTTCAAGCCCCCCATTCCCCAGCCTTCCTGATCCCAGCATGAGCCTCTGCTGCCCTTGTGCCAGGAAGGGACTGAGCCACCCCACCATATGACACTGGGTCAAGCATCTAGAAGCTTTTAGCATAATGTAGATTCCCCAAAGACCCAGGCATCTTTCAAGGTGGGGACCAAGTCTACTCCAGCACGCAGGAAGCTGGTAAAATTTGATTGAAGCTTTCCTTGGCAAGTTATGGCTTTAAGTGGGATCCAGACATCCTGGAAGAGCTTCCTGGAGGATGACTAGTGGACCCAATCAACATCAGAGCAGCAGAGACCAAGGAGGCATTGGGTCTGGCTCTGTCCCACCAAGACCAATTGGGGAGGGCTGAGTGCATCACTGAGTAGACAAATCTTAACAGAAAGCAGAATCTAAGTGATTCTATCACAACAAAATATGAAGCAAAGTCAGTGAATTTAGGAAATAAACCAAAGAAACTGCTGTCTCAGTGTAAATCTGAGAGGAACTCAGATGCAGGTGATCACAGTGAAGCACAGATGCTATTTCTCAGCCCAGAAATTCGCTCCTATTTTTCTTCTTGAATGTGCTTCTTGGTGAAGAAGAAAATAGAAGGGTTAGGACCCAGGGAAGCTTCCCTACTTGGGAGAAAAACAATAAGCTAGTCTGGGACTTAGCAATCAGCAAACTGGATTCCTGGTGTCCCAGTTACTACTGCTACATAATGAACCACCCAAGACTCAATGCTACAGACCACTTTATTACATGTGCAGAGTCTGTGGCCAGGAGCTGAGACAGGGCACGACAAAGATGGCTTGTGTCTGCTGCCTGGCGTGGACAACACAGCTGGGAAGACTCCAGTGGCTGAGGATGACTTGATACCCAGGGGCTGGAATTATCAGGACGCATCTTCATCGTGTGATGGAAGCTTAGGACTAGGACAGCTGGAAGGCTTAGCTCTGCTGGGTCAGTCAACCGGAATGCTGGGCTACCTCGCAGACGGCCTTGGATATTTTACATGGTGGCTGAGCACTCCAAAAACAAGTGTCCTAGGGACAAGGCAGCCCCTGCACTGTCTTTTACAGCCTAGCCTTGAATGTCATTTGGTCTCACTTCTGCCACTGTCTACTGGTTGAAGCAGACATAAGTTCACCCAGAACTCAGGGGAGAAGACCCCACCTTTTGATGAAAGGATAGCCATCTTTTAAAACCGCCACATTTAGGGCACTTCAAATCCCTGTCCTCAGCGCCATCCAACATGAAGCTGTCACCAAGTTACTTGTCCAACTGCAAGTCTGCAGAGAAAGAGTAACCAGTTCCTCAGGATGACACCAGAATACTTGGGCCAGCCTCAGGAAAGCCCCCCAATGTGGGGAGAATAACTAAAAAAAAGAAGTCTAACACCACTTTTGCTGGATCTCATTCATATTCACACTGAGGTCATTTTTCAACAAATACTTCCTAAGCATCTGCTTTGCTACTATGTTCCAACAGGGCAGCAGGCTTAAGACAGCAATTTCAAGGCGCTTACAAGCTTGCAGCTTGCAAACCACTTAGAGAAGGCATGTATAAGAAGTTCTAAAACTGTACAAGAGTCCCAGATGCAGGGTCACCAAAAGAAGGACTCTCTATGCTGTGAATTACCCTGTATCCTCAGAAGCTACTGGGTTTTCTCTGCTACTAATAGTTTCAGATACCACAACCCCTGAAAACAAGAGCTTACTCGGGAAAGCTCTTCCCGAAGCCTGGCAGCACCAAAGGCAGCAGCTAAGCTCTTCCATTGGATTAGGTACCAGAGGATGAAGACAGGGCCAGCTCCTCCTGCAGTATCTGCACCTCTGTCCCCAAATGACCCTACTTTTCTGTCTCCCAGTCCTGGAATCTACTTGTATTCAACTGATACTCTGGGGAACTAGATAAACAAGAAGCAAAAACAAAAGGACTAAATTTAAAAAGAGTAGAATCAAAAAGTAGCCAAGAAATGCAGAGACATGGGGATGGCAGGAGAATGGGACAAAACAGTTCATGGTTACGACCCAGGGGGAAGAGAGTGAGAGGGCTGACTGATAGGAAACAGAGAAAGACATAGAGACACATGGCAGAGGGTAGGAGAGACAGGTGACCCATGAACCTCACTTCCACAATACTATGTGACCAAACAGGTCAGCTCCTCCTTGCATGAGACCTTTTATTACACAGTAATCTATTAGCTCACAGTCCCCGGGAGTCCAGACTCCTCTTTCCTGGAAGGTAAGACACAAACTCTATTGGGTAAGTGAACCACTCCTCTCTCGGTTCAGGCGGAGCACCCTGCTTTTGGTGATGCCCTTTCTTGAGGTCAGGGTGATGCATGTTCCTCTCCAGGTTGTTCCTCTCCAGGAACAAACCAGGCTCACACAGTCCACTTCAGGCATCTGCAGGTGGAGGAGATCCAAGATGAGGAGGGGCCTGGGTGGTAGGAGGGAGAGGGAGTGAACCCAGGGGACCGTCCAAGCTCACCTGGTCTCCTGGTGGGTGCCCAGACAGCGCACAGTGCAGTACCGGGCACCACAGCTAACACAAGTGTACGGGGAGGGGAAGCCACAGACAGCACAGAAGGGGCGCTGGGGCCGGGATGGGGGTCCTGCACAAGCAGTCAGGTAATTGGGGCCCTCGGCCACGCTCAGGTTCTGCAGAGACAAGGGGTAGGCTCCGTAACATCTCCACCTACCTACGTAACAAATACCTGCCAGGAACAAGGATTTCTGGAGGCTCATTTCCTTCCTTCTCTCACCTGCTCCTCTAGCAAGGCCTGGAAGTTTTTTCGGAAGCGAAGTTTAAAATGATCACCTCGGGTTTTCTTCTTTTTCTTTCCTAGAGATCAAGGGGGATTAGTTACTTGGCATCTGCGAAGAAAGACACCATCTTTCTCTGCCACATCATTCTTGACACCCACTTGTCCATTCCCTCCCTGCCCACATACTCACCTGGATTCTAAGTCAGCCTCTCTCTACTGTCTTGTTCCTCCCCCCCATTCCCCAACCCCTAGCTGCCTCCATCTCTAAACTGCCTAAATCTAAGGCTTAATGTCAGCGCTAGAAGGATCTCAGAGGTTATCTGCTCCATCTTCCTTACTCTATACTGGAGAGGAAATGGATGCAGGAAAAGGGAGAGCAGCCGGCCCACAGTGACAGCAGCCAGTCCCTGGCAGAGCCAGAGACACTCCTGGGTCAGCTGCCCCCAAGCCCAATGTCCTTCCACAATGCTGACTAGGGCAGACTCTTTCCCTTCGTTCAGCCTCATCTCTCCCTTCCTCCTCCACCCGCCTCACCAGTGTCTGCATCATCATCAAACTGGGGCAGCCTCTTTCCGAGCTGGGGGAGTCCTGCATGGGGGTCATCCTGGAAGTTGTCATTCTCCAAGGCCTCGAGCTGCCTGTTGATGCGGCGCTGCCGGGCAGCCCGGTCCAGCACCCGCCGCTGTCCAGGGTCCTGGGAGCGAACTAGATGGGGCAAAACCAGAGAAGTTATTGGGGACACAAAGAGGGAAGCTGAAGTGATCTTGGCTCTGGGCAGTGTGTGAAGATGTCCAAGGAGAGGGCACTACAGTTCTCTGATCGTCCAGTCACCAAGCCGTGGTCCCTGTATCTTCTCCCAGTATATCATATCCCTCTGGATACATACCCCTTTTGTTTACTTCCTTCCCAGGAGCCACCACTGCCATTGCAGTCATTCATATATGTTTTCTATACCTTTGGTCCCAGCCTGTCCTGCCAACCTCAGGCCCAACAGTGAAATGTCTCTTGGAGGCCTCTCACACAACCATGCTGATGGAGACCACTGTACATTCAGGACTTCCGGCTCCACTGGCACCTTAACACACTGGCCTTGATACTTGAACTTGGCAATCTGATTTCCTATATCAAAGAAAACAGGCCACATACAGAGAGACATTCACCTCTCAGCCTGCCCTCAACCATTCACCTCTCAGCCTGCCCTCAACCATTAGGGGCACCTACCTCCCCTCCATCCCAAGTGAATACATCCCTCCACCCTTGAGTCCCACTTATAAACCCAACCCAACCCAACCCGAATCCTCCCTTCTCTCTTGCATCTTCAGCCCTGCCTCCTCAATTGGTACTTTCTCTTCAATGGAAAGACTTGCTAAACTCCCAGCTTCACAGGTATGCTTCTGTGTGAGCTTTCATTTCCTCACCACCTGTCCACATCTCAACACCCGGTGAACTAACTCTCCTTCAATGGCACCATGACGACCCCCACCCAAATCCAGTGTACATTTCACTTGAGCTCTCTAAACTCAGAGGCCGTGCTGACTGTCTCCCTCGAGCTGAGTCTGTTCATCAGCCTCCTTCATGTGACTCCAGGTTTTCTCATGGTTTTTCATTCCCATTGTACTTCTCAGCCTCCTATAGCAGCTACTCTAAGGTGATGACTGTTCCTCTTCTCTTTCTTGTCTAATGTTCTTTCTGAGATTTCTAATCCAAACACAGAGCTTGCTCACCCACAAGCAATTGACTCCAAAAATGAGTCCCTCTATCCAGAACTTTCTTCCAAGCTCCAGAACTGGCTACCCAACTGGCTACAGGAAAATACCTGCTGACCCTGCTGGCATTGCAACTCAAAATAAAAAAATCTTCCCAACCCAACTTGCTTCTCCTGTAGACTCTCTTTAAGTGACTGGAACCGTCTCTGTAGAGATCCAAACCAGAAACCTAGGAGTTATTTTAAACCTCTCTCTTCACTACCATACCAACTGTTCAGCAGGTTCTGATAATGCTACACAAAATATCTCTTTATTCATTAAACAAATATTTATTGAGTGCCTGTAACCAAGTAATAGCATCAGCACCAATGGATGACACTTACTGGACACGTACTATGAGCCAGGCAGTACACTAAACTCTGCACAAAAGGAATGCTTTAACCCTTACAGCAACCCTAGGAGATAAATATCACTATCATCCCCAGTTTAACTAAAGTTCAGAGGTTAAGAAATGTATCCAAAGTTCACACAGGTAGTCAGTGTCTGGGTCAGAACTCAAACCTAGAACTGCCCAGCACAGAAAAACATGCTCTTGATGACAAAACTATACAGCCTCCCTTCCATTTGCCCTAGGAATACGTGGAAAATGATCAAACAAACAAGCACAGTCTATGCTAGGACAGGGAAGGACAAAGTGCTATGTGACAGAAACACCTAACCTAGCCCTGGAATAGCCAGGGAGATTTTTCAAGGCTAAGACCTGACTGATGAACAAAGTTAGCCCAGCTAGGGGAGAGGGGACAGAGTCTCAGGACCTGGTACCAGCATGAAAGGTCTGGATGGGAGACTCTGTGCCGTTCAATCTCAGAAATAAGTTCTTTGTGGCTGGTATATAAAGGATATGTATGGGGGGGTGGACAGGAAGTCAGGCTGACCATTAAGTGTCTTTAAGTATGTAAAAGAATTTGTCATGTTTTTTGGTTTATTTTTAATTTATTTTTATTGGCCTTCAAATTATGTAGAGGAATTTGGAATGAGGGATTTTATGTGAGGGTGGTTGTGATCCAGAGAGGGGGTTAAGAAAGGAGTAACATGACTGGATTTATTACAAGTCAATTTGACAGTATTCCAACCTTCACCTCTCTTTATCTGGAGCACTCAATAGCTTCCCAGCTGGCCTTCCAGCCTCCAAACACTGCACCATACAATAAGGGCGCCACTAGCTACATGTGGTTATTTAAATGTACTGAAGACTCTGTGTTATAAACCAATGTTCCATCAGTGAAAAAATAAATAAAGAGAGGGCCTCCCTGGTGGTGCAGGGATTAAAAACAGCACTATCAAGCTACTGCCAGCCACTACAGCACGAGTTCAACTCCCGCCCAGCCAGGGAGCTACCCACATGGTGCAGCAGACCTCTCCTGTCTCACCCACTGCTCCCTTCAGCAGTGTATTTCTGTAGATCTGCCTGTTCTGCTCCCCACTCTGTCTCTGGTGAATCCTCTTACCCCCCTCACCTGTGGCTTACACTCCGGTTCTTGTATACATAAATAAATCTTTAAAATAAATAAATAAATGAGGAAAACGGGGATACTATATTACATATATTATCTAGTACATATATTCATCACTCTAAATTCATAACTAGAAATAAGTAACATTCATAACTAGAAATAAGTAAATAAATAATAAGCAGACGCCAGAAAGATCCTTAGCCCTTCCACCATGTGAGGACACAGGTAGAAGGTCCCGCTTATGAATCAGGGGAGCCATCACTAGAAAGCAATCAATCTGATCCCTTGATCTTGAACTTCCCAGACTTCAGAACTGTGAGCAATAAACTTCTGTTATTTATAATAAATTTAGATGTCGATTAAGATTAATCTTATTTCTTTAAAGTCCAGTTCGTCGGTCACACTAGCGACCTTTCAAGTGCTCAATAGCCTCAAGTAGTCAATAGCTGGGCCTCCCCGGTGGCGCAGCGGTTGAGCGCTGGGTTGCGAAGCTGCCCGCGGCCTCTGAGGCGCCAGTTCGATCCCCGGCTGCTCCCCGGCCACCGGAGGAGGGTCCCACATGGCGCGCAGACCTCTCCCGCCGCCCGCTGCTCCCCTCAGCAGTGTACTTCGGTCCTTCTGCCTGCTCTGCTCCCTGCTCTGGCTCTGGTGAATTCTCTCACCCTCCCGCGCTTCTGACTGTACCCAGTGCATGTATAAACAAAACAAACAAACAAATAAATAAATAAATAAAACATGCCTCTATAAAAAAAAAAAAAAAAAAGTAGTCAATAGCTGACATATTAGACACATTTCCTTCATCCTAGAAAGTTCTACTGGACAGCGCTGCTGCAGGCCCTCCGGCACTGAGAGCGCCTGCACTGCGCGAAACCGTCACTCAGCTTAAGACTCAGGCAAGCGTTTTCTTCCCCTCCAACCCCTCCTCGCACCCTCCTTTGCAGAAGCTACGATGCGAGTCGCTTCTCCATGCGTCCAGGTGCTTGGCACCCCTGTCTCAGCACCTATCACTAGGAGATGCAACGCTAGGGCTGCGAGTCCGCCCCCTCCCAGAAAGCCGGTCCTCAGACGATGAGGATCGTTTTGCTTTCTCCATCCCAACCCTGCATCAATAAAACAAGAATGGATGGTTTGGGGGGAGTCCCCGACACCAGGGCCCGAGGGGCAGGGAAGAAATTTGAGACTAGGTGAGGAAATCCTAGGCCAGGTTAGGATTTGCGAGGAGGACAGGACCAACCGCCAGGGGCTCACATACCCGAAGTTTTCTTCTCCACCATTTCTACACGCAGCTGGCGGAAGAGTCGACTGCGCACGCGCACTAAACTACTCGCGTTGGTAGGGGCACCACCATTTCCGGCGCTTGTGCTTCTGCGCGTGCGTAGAATAATTCCAACGCTGTGACTCATTACGGGATGTTCCCTTGGAGACGAGCACGCTTTCCGCCATATTTCATAAGGGCAAGGCTACTTCCGGCCTCAGTGTCGCTGTGTATTTGTAGGACTCCCCGAAATGGGTCCTTTTAAAGAGGTGGTGCCAGTGGTCTTTCGAAAAACATTTTCTTTTGGGCCTTCTGAGGCTGTCATCGTCACAAAGACAACCCCTAGAGCTTCTCCCCGGCTCTGTAGAGATGCCTGGGCGACCAAAGAAATTGGGCAGGCTTGAGTGGGCAACCGAGAGGTCTCCTGCGACCCTCCGGCAAAACTTCCATCCCCACCCGCCCTGGGGCCGTAGACTCCGCGGTGCAGCCCCTCGCGCCCGCCCGCCCTCCCTCTCGCTCGCCCGCCCCGCGCCCCTCCGCCCAGCTCTCCAGGTCTTCCGCCCGGCCGCTCCCAGCAAAGACCCCGCCCCCGCGTCCAGCCGGACCCGCAAGGGGTCACTTCCCCTCTCCGGGTTTCAGTTTCCTCGTGGTCCGGCGGGTGGTGGGCCCCGCTGGCTCTGCCCAGAGTCTCGGGCTCCGGACCGCGGGCCGGCGCTGCCGCCCCTCCCCCGCGGGCGGCCGGGCGCCCCCCCACGCCTCGGCTCAGCGCGCGCTCGCGCGGCGGGACAATCCTCGCCTTGTCTGGTGGGGCGCCGGCATCTGGAGTTTTCTGTAGCTCCGGATACGCCTTTTTTCCAGGGCGGAGCCCCAACTCTGCTACTCCGCAAAGTGGGCGGCATAGCAGTCCCGGCACCCCCTTTGCAGAGCCCCCCTCCGGAGTTGGGATCCAGGCACGCACCCCAAGTTTGGTACGAGCCTGAGGGCGGCCGCGGCCCACCCCGGCGATGGCCTTCCACGGCGGGGGACTCCGGCTCCGGCTGTTAGCGCTGCTGCTGCTGCTGCTGCTGCTGCCACCGCCCGCGGACCCGACCTCCGACCGTCCCCGACGGGGCGACCCGGTCAACCCAGGTGAGAACCCCGCGGGGGCCGCGGGCTGAAGTGTCTGTCTGCCCGGACCCCGGAAAGATCGAGGCCTGGAGGGTGCGGCCGATGTCTCACGGGGCCCCTTCCCTCTCCCCATCCTGAACTGAGGTTTCCAGCCTCCCCTTGCAAGCTGGTCTGAATTTCTGGGTGTCATCCCCCTCCGGCTCTCACGGGGGTCAAAGTTTCTCAGGGTGGGAAGAGTTTAAGAAGGAATGGGGGGAAAGGTAAGGGCCAGTAGCAGTCTGAGGGAGGGGACGGGGCCTGCGGGGAGCAGAGCTCGTGAGCCCTGACTGCCCATTCACGGCTGATGACAGAGAAGCTACTGGTGATCACTGTGGCCACGGCTGAGACCGAGGGATACCGGCGTTTCCTCCGGTCCGCGGAGTTCTTCAATTACACTGTGCGGGTGAGGAAAGGAACACTGGGCAGGAGTGGGCTGAGGGCTGGATGCCTGGGACTCCACGGTGAGCCTGGCCAGGAGGGCCCACCCAGCCTGCTGAGCTCCTCCCTGACCTGATGGGTCTCCCCAACAGACCCTGGGCCTGGGAGAGGAGTGGCGAGGGGGTGATGTGGCTCGCACAGTTGGTGGAGGCCAGAAGGTCAGGTGGCTAAAGAAGGAAATGGAGAAGTATGCAAACCGAGAAGATATGGTCATCATGTTTGTGGACAGGTAAAGGTGCTGGAAGGGAAGAAAGGGGAGAGGAGACTGGCATGCGGGGATGCTGAGGTCCTAGTACTGTCCTGTTTATCCTCCCCTTCCTCGCCTAGCTATGATGTGATTCTGGCTGGCAGTCCCTCGGAACTGCTGAAGAAGTTTGTCCAGAGTAGCAGCCGCCTGCTCTTCTCCGCAGAGAGCTTCTGCTGGCCCGAGTGGGGGCTGGCCGAGCAGTACCCTGAGGTGGGCACGGGGAAGCGCTTCCTCAACTCTGGTGGTGAGTAGCAGAGTGCCAGAGGCAGAGGGACCAAGTGTGGTGGGGCATGGAATGTTCCAGGTGTCTGGGGGCGGAAGACAGGGTGGAGACTGGTCCATGGGACCCTGGAAGGCCCAGGGTCAGCACCTGCCCTTGCCTCCCAGGATTCATTGGCTTTGCCCCCACCATCCACCAAATCGTCCGCCAGTGGAAGTACAAGGATGATGATGATGATCAACTCTTCTACACTCGACTCTACCTGGACCCAGGACTGAGGGTACGGTGGGTCAGAGGAGGAGGGCAACCCACGGCTGTGTGGGGCTGCAGGCCACAGGCCAAGTGGGCGAGGAGGGGTGAAGGGCTTTAGAGAAGATGTAAAAAGAAAAATATGGGGAGGGGCCTCCCTGGTGGCTCAGGCGGTTGAGCCCAGCGCTGTGAAGCTGTCCGCAGCCTCTGCAGTGCCGGTTTGATCCTCACCGGCCTCAGAGCAACCCATATGGTGAGCAGACCTCTCCTGTCACGCCCGCTGCTCCCCTCAGCAGTGTATTTCATCATTCTGCCTGTTCTGCTCCCCGCTCTGTTTCTGGTGAATCCTCTCACCCTTCTGCATATCTGGCCTGTACCCTGGTTCTTATATAAACTTAAAAAAAAAAAAGATGGGGAGCCATGTCTCATCCCCTCTTTTTATTACTTCTTTTTAAGCATTTTAAATGTTTTAATTTTTCTGAATAGCAACAATGCCATTTTGCTAAAGTTACAATTTTGAAAAATTAACTGGGCCCCCAAACTGCTTCCAGCTTTTCTGTCTAGTGTATATGGGTCTTCAGTTTCTCTCCGTCCTGCGTTCCCGGAGATCAGAACCAGGGGGTAGAGAAGCTACTCTGAAACTCTCTTGGGGTAGTGAGCCCAGGCGAGTCCAACTACATACAGCCTTGGCTGCTCAGGTGCTCTGTGGAGTAGCTTCTGATGCCCCCAAACTCTCCCTTCTGCCTTCCTAAGGTTTGCTGTCTGGAAGGTTTGCTTATCCAGAGGAAATGAAGTATTTTTATATCAAATTATATTACAGGAAATATTGCCAAATCTTTCCTTTAGTGTCGGTCCAAGTGTAAGTATTAAGCTCAAGCAAATGAAACATGGTTGAAGAAGAGTGTCTATTCTCTGGGCCACTGGGGCTCACTCCCTCTACCTAGTGCTCTCCCAACTGCTCTGCTCAGAGGAGGATGGTGGACCAACAAGCTGGCCCAAACAAGGCAGCTGGTCCACAGTGTCTGCGATCCCACCCCCTGCCCCAGTCCTGCCAGTGGGCCCCTGTAATCTTCATCTGTTTATCCCAATGTTCTCCAAGAACTGCTTCTTGCTCTTGGGGTATCCTTCAAGGGTTGCATCAGACAGCTCTGTTGCTGTCCTCTTCTGCTTCCTCCACCCCTTGCTGCCATTCCTGGCAGGACAACCCCAGTGCTGAAGTACTTCCTGACACTGACCAGCTGCAGCGCTGGCTCTGTGCACCTGCTTTCTCTTCTGGAGTCACATGATTGGGGTTCACTTTGGGGCTCTTCTCTCTCTGTGTAGCCAGCACGTCCAGCACCTCTGGTGTGTCAGGGCCTTAACCCCTTCAGCTTAGCTTCCCTATGGAGATGTTTCTGCCACAAGCTCTGTACCTTAGCTGTGACGACCACATTTGGCATCAAAGGCTTTGAGGTCAGCGTCACTCACCGTGTCAGGCTGGTCCTGCTCTGCAAATGACACCTCCTGCTCACGCATCTTACCTTGGCCCAGTTGCTCCAGTACCTTTACCTCCACTGCCTTACCCTATCTGTGTTCCTGCCACAGGTTCCTGGCACCATCTGGGTGCTGTGGGGGCCAGTTCTGCTCCTGCAGGCCCCTCAGCAGGATCCCCAGGGCTTGGCCGCAACTTCCACCCAACTTTTACTCTTGGTCTTTCCTGCCACCAAACTCCCCAAACCTCTTTATTTAAAAAAAAAATTTTCCCCTTCACCATCCCTTGTGTCCCCTTGTTGCTTTCCCTCCCCCTCCCTCTTTACCTCAGAGTCCTCAGGATTTTTATTAATATTTACTCATTTTTTAAAGTGTTTTACACAGTTGAATCGTCTGCTATGTAAATGTCCAGTATTTGCTTGCTGTCATTCTGACTTTGTTGCACGTAATTCTCTCAAATTCCCTCCATTTTGCTGAAAATGGGTGCATTTCATTCTTTCCTATGGCTACGTAATACTCTATCATGTGGCTCTACCACACCTTCTTGATCCAGTTATCCGTCGGTGGGCATTTAGGCTGCTTCCGCGTCCTAGCTATTGCGAATAATGCTGCGCTGAACACTGTGGAGCAAATGGGTTCTTTTGTTGGTAGTTTCGTATTCTGTGGATATATGCCTGGGAGTGGGCTTGCCAAGGCCTTACGGTATTTCCATTTTTAGTTTGTAAAGTAGAGCAATCCTCTGTTTAGCTAACTACTGTATCTCATCCCTACAGGAGAAACTCAGCCTTAACCTGGATCATAAATCCCGGATCTTTCAGAACCTCAATGGGGCTTTAGGTGAGGAGAAGGGAAATGGAGGTGGGGGTGGGGGTGATGAGAGAGCCATCTGCTGCTGGGGCTCCTGAATTTGGGAGGGTCTCCTGGTAGTACAGGGGAGGTCTTCAGCTCACCTTTATGTTAATTTGATCAACCATCTGAATAGCTTGTAGAGCCACTTGCTTTCATCCTAATAGTGATAAAAATAACATAAATAAAATTAAGTAAACACGGTAATAAAAGCAGTAGTGGTCATACCTAACATCTGTCAAACACACTTCACGCCAAGCCCTGGGTCAGCGGGCTTACTCCTGTCATTTGATTTAACACAACCGTCATACAGAGGGGAAGAGTATGGTTCTCACCTGTTTCTGAGGCAAGAAATTGCCTGAGGGGCTGGTGACTTACCCAGGTCAGGAAATGGTGGTAACTAGGAAGTGCTGGGGATCCCCAAGTTGGCAGTAGCTGGGTCAGGACCCCAAGAAAGAGAAGGTATTTCATCCCTGCCCTACAGCCCTAGTCCTTCATCCTCTAGAAAAGCTGGGCTCTCCCCATATTAAAAGCACCTGTTCCTTAGCAGCTTTGCCAGAAAGAAGTCTAACTCCTGGTCTTCCTTCCTCAGATGAGGTGGTTTTAAAGTTTGACCGGAATCGTGTACGGATCCGGAATGTGGCCTATGACACACTTCCTGTTGTGGTTCATGGGAATGGCCCTACTAAGGTGCCCCAACAGCTCATGCCCTCACCCCTGGATCTGCCCCTGCCCTGCCCTACCCTGCCCCTAGCTACTTCCAGCCCTGCCCTGCCCTGCCCCTGCCCCTGGCTACCTCCAGCCCTGCGGAAGCACTCAGTCCTCAGCTCCAGAAGTAGAGGTACTGGAGAGGTTCTAAATATCCACTGTGCCCCCCCCTCTGCCCCCGCCCATCTACCTGACCTCCCCCACCTCTGGGCCTGGACTCCTCTGCCTCAGCCTCTCCCTTTCTTTCCTGACAGCTCCAGCTGAATTACCTGGGAAACTACGTCCCCAATGGCTGGACTCCTGAGGGAGGCTGTGGGTTCTGCAACCAAGATCGGAGGACACTCCCGGGGGGGCAGGTAAGGGAGGGTGCGAGGCGAGGCTGGAATGCACACTGAATTTGGGGTACCAGAGGAGAATCCTGGGTAGCAGCGGGGGAAAAGCTCCTAGTAACCCCCAAACCTGGCAGCATTATAGAGGACAGATGAGGTAGGCAGCTCGAGCTTCCCCCTGAACCCCATTTTGTCTTTCAGCCTCCCCCCCGGGTGCTTCTGGCCGTGTTTGTGGAACAACCTACCCCGTTTCTGCCCCGTTTTCTGCAGCGGCTGCTGCTCCAGGACTACCCCCCTGAAAGAGTCACCCTTTTCCTGCACAACAATGTGAGACCCCCTGGCAGCCTCTCTCTGTTGGCCTTTCCGAGGGACCCTCCTCTGCCCTGATCAGAACTCCTGCCCACCTGACTGCTCCCCACACCCTCTCCACTCACCAGCTTCCCACCTCCCGTTCCTCAGGTGCCATCTTTTCTGCCCTCTCAGTGCCCACATGTCCCTCTGTCCCCCTCTCCAGGAGGTATACCATGAGCCCCACATCGCAGACTCCTGGCCCCACCTCCAGGACCACTTCTCAGCTGTGAAGCTGGTGGGGCCAGAGGAGGCCTTGACCCCAGGAGAGGCCAGGGACATGGCGATGTGAGTGAACCCTGGATGGAGGCTGGCAGGGGTGCAGGCAGGGCCATCCCCGCTCCACCCTGCCCTGCCCCTGCCCCTGGCCACCTCCAGCCCTGCGGAAACTTCTCCTCAGCCCCCAGGGTCTGCTCCTCTCTGGTCCACACTTGCACAGATGGGAGCACCTGGGGATCCTGGGAAAGCAAGCATATAGCTCCCCCGACCCCTGCAATCTTCTCCCTCCTCTCCCCTTGCTGGTGTTTCTACCACTTCCCTCCTCTTCTCATGGGGTGGGGGCAGCCTCCTTCCCCCAGCTGCTCTCATTTCAGCTCATCTGTCGGTCTCTCAATCTATTGCCTCCAGGGACAGCTGTCGTCAGGACCCCAGGTGTGAATTCTACTTCAGTCTGGATGCAGACGCAGTCATCACCAACCCACAGACTCTGCGCATCCTCATTGAAGAGAACAGGTCACTTCCTGGCTCAGCCAGAGAGCCCCAAATGTTCCCCAGGGCACCCCCACTCCTTCCCTGGGCACAGGGCTCACCTCTGCCCAGCCCTCACCTCTGCCCATCCACAGGAAGGTGATTGCCCCCATGCTATCCCGCCATGGGAAACTGTGGTCCAACTTCTGGGGCGCCCTGAGCCCAGATGAGTACTACGCTCGCTCTGAGGACTACGTCGAGCTGGTGCAGCGGAAGCGAGTGTGAGTCTTGCCTGGGCACTGGCCCTCCTCCTCCGCCCTGGACCCTAATGTCAGGGATCTGGTGTGGTCACCAGTCAGACGCGCCACAGTGGAGGGAAGGCACTGACCTAGGAGCAGGACAGGAGCTGGTTGTGACCTGCAGTACTTGACAGGGGAAGTGAAGGGGAACTCCCTGCTACAAGAGTGGGGTGCTCCTGGGATAACTGGGCAGAACCTAGCTGATGCTAGTGTGGGTACTTCCAGGGGTGTGTGGAATGTGCCCTACATATCCCAGGCCTACGTGATCCGTGGGGAGACCCTGAGGACAGAGCTGCCCCAGAGAGAGGTATTCTCAGGCAGCGACACCGACCCAGACATGGCCTTCTGTAAGAGCCTGCGGGACAAGGTGAGCAGGCAGGGTGTGACCTGGGGCCCAGTGCCAAGGCTCCAGGAGGCAGTCTCCTTCACCCCCTCACATGCTCCCCCCACCCCAGGGCATCTTCCTCCATCTCAGCAATCAGCATGAGTTTGGCCGGCTCTTGGCCACTTCCCGGTATGACACAGACCACCTGCACCCTGACCTCTGGCAGATCTTTGACAATCCCGTGGTAAGTGGCGGGTCCCTCACTCAGAGAATGTGCATGCCTGCCTTTCATTAAAAAGGACCTGCACACACTCTTGCAGCAGTGCTACTGTCTGGATGTTGGGGGCTGGGGGTAGAAGGGGGATACAGGGGCTGGGGCTTCCTGGGTAGGGCCAGCTGGAGTGAAGAGGGCGTACATAAAGGTGGGCTCCCTGACCCCCCCCCCCAGGACTGGAAGGAGCAGTACATTCACGAGAACTACAGCCGGGCCCTTGACGGGGAGGGACTCGTGGAACAGGTGAGCCACTGAGGACTCCTGATGCCTGATGGACACTGCCCCTCGGGGTCACCGCCTGGATTAGTGGCTTCAAACTGGGTTTTTCCAGGTGCTTTACTTAGGGTTTTCAGCTTGGGCACAGTGAAAGCCAAGGCTGATCAGGCTGATCGGGCCTTCAGCTCTCAGCACCAGCAACAGGAGTGACGCCTCCAGTGTCTACTGGGCATTTGGTGTTAGGGGTAAAATTAGTTTTATAAAGAAGTTTGAAAATCTCTGTCCCAGAACCTGGGTTCCAGGACCCTCCTGCCATTTGTGCCAGGCTCTCAGAGTCCCTCCCCCTCCTCACATGGCCTCTCCTAGCCCAGCCTTGGTGTGGCCATTTCCACAGCCAAGGCCTTAACCCCCAGCTTTTCCCATCGCCTGGCTTCCCTTTCTGCTTCCGGCTTTTCTCCTCACTGTTGCCTGCCCCATCCTCTCTTCTGAGAATGTGCCCCAGCTGCGAGTGTCATCCAGGCCTCTTCTCCCCCCCATCCTCAGCCCTGCCCAGACGTGTACTGGTTCCCCCTCCTGTCAGAGCAAATGTGTGACGAGCTGGTGGAGGAAATGGAGCACTTTGGCCAGTGGTCAGGAGGCCGGCATGAGGTGAGAGGAGCCGGCCAGGGGAGGGGGTGCCCTTGGAGGAGATAAGGGAGGTGGAGTCAGGAGAGTGGAGGCAGATCCTGAAGAGGGAGGAGCCCACAGGGAGCACAACTGCTTGCTTTCATTCATTTATTCATTTATTCAATACCAGGCAGACCCTAGGTGCCAGCCCCTGACTAGGTGGAGCAGTTGTGCCTGATAAGTTGTGCCCTCACTGTCAGTAACGGCAACACGTAGCTTCTAAGGGCTGTGATGGGGAGCCCAGGTGCTTTGGGAGCCACAGAAGGGGCCCTGGGCCCAGATGTGGGGGGACTGAGGAGCTTCCCAGAAGAGATAACATCTCAGCTGACTTTAAGTCAAGCTAAGAAGTGGTGAAGACTCTTCGTATGAGGGAATACAAGCTTTGAGACACGGGAACAAGGGGTGGGGGTAGGTAGCACCACCTCCATTGGGGGCTCAGCGCTTGAGTCACTGCCCACAGGACTCAAGACTGGCTGGAGGCTATGAGAACGTGCCCACTGTTGACATCCACATGAAGCAAGTGGGCTATGAGGACCAGTGGCTGCAGCTGCTGAGGACGTACGTGGGGCCCATGACCGAGAGTCTGTTCCCAGGCTACCACACCAAGGTGGGCTGCTGCCCCTGCCTCCCCTCTCCTCCACCAGCCCACTGGGCACCAGGCTGGAACACTCCACGTGGCACCCTGTAGCATGTGGGGCCCCCTAGAAAAAGATGCTGCAAGAGAGCAGCCCTGGGGGAAGCCTGCTCAGCCCCTGCAGCTCCCCCACTCCATGGACAAGGGCTGTCACCTCCTTAGAAGGCTCGCCGGACCTCACGCCATCCTTCCAGCCTCTCTCCTCATGTTCCCACAGACAAGGGCAGTGATGAACTTCGTGGTCCGATACCGGCCAGATGAGCAGCCCTCTCTGCGGCCGCATCATGACTCATCCACCTTCACCCTCAATGTCGCCCTCAACCACAAGGGCCTGGATTATGAGGTAAGCCCCTACCCCTTCACCTACCACACAGCACCACTGGGACCCCTACACACACACACACACACACACACACACACACAGCAGGACCCGATGTCGCACCTCCCTCTCTCTCTCTCTCTCTCTCTCTCTCTCTCTCTCTCTCTCTCGTCTGCCCTCTTCACAGTTCCCACTTTGCCTGTATCATCTCTTGGACCCCTTCTGGGCTGGCTGCCTCCCCATCCTCCTGTGGCTCCTCTGCCCCCCCAACCCCCAGGTCTACCTCCCAGGTCCCTCTGGACCCCTCTCGCCTCCTGTCCCTGCCACTTCCCAGCCCCCATGTCTGCTCACTCACCATCTCCATCCCTTCTTCTCTCCCCAGGGAGGTGGCTGCCGCTTCCTGCGCTACGACTGTGTCATCTCAGCTCCACGCAAGGGCTGGGGCCTCCTGCACCCTGGCCGGCTCACCCACTACCACGAGGGGTTGCCCACTACTCGGGGGACTCGCTACATCATGGTGTCCTTTGTTGACCCTTGACAACCACTCTGGGGCCTTCCCTGCCACAGTGCCTTCTCGCAGCCCTCCTTGGAGGGGGCTCTCTGACTCCCGCTTCCTGAGTGGGTGTTCTGTGACTTGATACTGAATGTGTTGCCTCAGCCCCACCAAACGGCTCTCTCAGGAAGCTCCTGGAACCCCCTCGCCCCTCCACTCAGTCGCCAAGGATTCCTGGAGAGGGCTTCTGGGGGTTCCCCATGTGATAAATTATTGTTTCTCAGCCTTTCCCCAATAAAGGAGAATTTGTAACTCCTGCATCCACCATCATCTTCCATCTACCTATTGATCCTGCCATCTAGAGCAGAGGGGAGACTGTGGTTTATGGAAGAAAAAGAGCAGAGAAGAGGGACCGGCAGGACAAGGTGGTAGACAAGTGTGGGCGCCTGCCCTGGCCCCTGTCTCACTCCCCTTCATTGCTGGCTTGGGAAGCATGTGAGGGACCCAGATGAAAGTCCCCCCCACACACACACACTGCTCTCTGCTTCATTTCTTGAGTGTGGAGGTGGCATAGCATTGAGCTGAGCTCCAGGGCGGCCCTGGGTAAGGAATTACGGGGTGAGGGAGTGCTCTATGAGGGGAGATCCTAAACCTATGCCTTTAGTTAGACAGGATCAGGAAGGGGAATCTGGATAGTCATTCCAAGAAAGTTTCCTGAAAGAGGACCTTGAAGCAGCCTTGAGAACTACCTCAAGGGGGCCATCAGGCCCCCTCCAAGGTCCCTGGGCCCCTGAACACCAGGCCCTGCTTAGCTTGGTCTTCCCCAGTCTCCCAGCAGCCTGACTTCCTGAATTTATCTCCTAACTCTTCCTTTGTGGAAGCTTTTATTTATTTTTTTTAAAGATTTATTTATTTATTTATACAAGCACTGGGTACAGTCAGAAGCACGGGAGGGTGAGAGAATTCACCAGAGCCAGAGCAGGGAACAACAGGCAGACCGACGAAATACACTGCTGAGGGGAGCAGCGGGCGCCGCAAGAGAGGTCTGTGCGCCATGTGGGACCCTCGCCCGTGGCCGGGGATCGAACTGGCGCTGCAGAGGCTGCGGGCAGCTGCGCAGCCCAGCGCTCAACCCCTGCGCCACCAGGGGAGGCCCTTGTAGAAACTTTTAAAACCCAACCTGGCCTGTCCACCTGTCCTAGGATGTTTCCTGCCCTGGACAGCTCGCTTGCCACAGGGGCTAGAATCCCCTTCTTCCATCCTCCTGCCCAGTCTCCCAGGAAAAAACTAACTCTATGAGGCTCAGGGTGGGGAGGACCAGACACTGGGAGAGCCAGCACACAGGGATAACTTGAGGGAGGAGCAAATGCCCTTGGGTCATCTCCAGACACTTTCTAAGGTCACCTTCTAATTCACCCCCACTGTCTTCTAATTCACCCCAACCTGGAGCAGCCCTGGAAACAGCCTAAAGTTGCCTACAGGCATCCCTAAAGTGAGTCCCATTCTAAAAAAGAAAACCCAAAACTTCTTCTATGAAGCCTTCCTCATTGGTAAGGGGTGCTGATCACCTGGGAGGTTTCACCTTCCACATGAACCAAGTATCTCTCTGGCCAACTTTTGTCCATCTCACCTTCATCTTGTGCTTTGGGATGGAAGTGGGGTACACAGGGATAGGAGAAAAAGGCTCTTGACCAGACCCCTGAATGGCGAAGCTACACAGAGTGAGGCAGGGAGCACAGAACACAGGTGCCGGCCTGGGCGGTAGGTCTTGGCACTGGAAGTTGGCATCTCCCATCTGCCAGGCACCCAGCACGAGGGCTGAAGCTGTGAGCTCCAAGCCTGCAAAGACTTCCCAGAGCACCACTGTGATGGAGGAACAATTTTATGCTATGGTCATCTACCCTTCAGGGGCCAGGTCCAGGTAGCTAACAGGTGACCCTGCCATCTACTGTACACATCACTTGGGCAACGCTGCCCCCTTCCCAGACCTCTGCTACCCCAGCTCCTCACAGAGGCCTAAGGTCCTGACCACTACAAAGCCCAAACACTTTCCTCAGTCCAGCCCAGGTCCCTGGCTACACCCGGGTCACTTCCATTTGGTCCTACAGGTTTTTATCTAGTGGGTTCAGGGAGCGGTTAACCCTTCCTTGTTGGGGTCTGGCATGCAGGCTAGCAAAAGGGGCAGGAATGGATCAGAATCAGCACATTCTGATGCTGGCCAGCGGGGGCCAGTGGGTCGTGGGCCAAAGGGTACGCTTGGGAGCCACAGTGGCCTCTGAGACAGCCTACACTGAGTTCTAGCCCCTCCATGCTTCTCTGCAGGTCTCTGAGAGTTTGCTGTCCTGCAGTGAGTCCCTGAAGCTCTTGGAACCCAGGCCTGGCGACCTGCTACCCCATACCCACAAGTGAGGGAGCAGAGGAAGCAAGGGGTCCTTGAAGCCATAGAACAGGGAGGGGAGCCAAGGGGACTAAAATGCCTGGGTCCAGAGTCCCAGCTCCCTCTGCCCCCTCTTAGGTGCCTGGCCACCCTGGCCCTTGCACTCCTGGGCTGGGCTGGACCCTAGCAGTCCTCTATTTGCTTAGGCTCTGTGGCCATTTCAGTGGCTACTTCCCATAGCAGTGAGGGCACCTCACCATGCTGGATAAGAGCTGGCATCCCCAAAAGTCCAATCTCACCAAGCAGGTGGGCTGTGCACCCTTTGTTCCCCTGCTGCTTAAAACCACACAGTTGGGGGTCTTCCTGGTGGCGCAAGGGGTTAAGACAGACGCAACCTATGAAGCTATCAGCAGCCACTGAAGCACGAGTTCAATCCCAGCCCAGGAGTTACCCTGGCTACAGGGCGCAGCAGACCTCTCCTGTCGTGCCCGCTGCTCCCCTGCAGTGCTTTCGGTCTGTCTGCCTCTTCAGCTCCCCATGCTGTCTCTGGTGAATCCTCTCACCCCCACCCCTGCACCTCTGGCCTACACCCCAGTTCTTGTCTGCATAAATAAATAAATCTTTAAAAAAAAAAATTACAGAGTTGGGCCCCTCCCATTGACCCCCTCAGCTTTCACCCTCAGGGGTGCTGGTCAAGGAGGCCACCAGGAAATTCTGCACAGAGGCCACAGGCTTCTTCCCCTTCTTCTCCACCCCCAGCCCCACCTACTCAAGCTGCATTGTTGGTGTCACCCTCCTTTCTTCCGGGACTTGATCAGGTGTGGTGGAGAGGAGTGGGGAGCCTCACCTCAAGAACCCCCAGCCCCTGCTGTCACCTCCTACCCGGGCCTCCTTTAGTCTGGGGGGGCACCAGTTTCCAGCTCTACCTTCCCTGTGTGGCATCCCCACCCCCCTTCTCTCTAACACGCATATCGGGTCCCCAGCCTCTGCCTTCCTCCAAGTTTGGTGTCCTCTGACCCATCACCCGCTAGCTGCTGTCCCTGCAGTGGTAGCCAGGAGGCTCCCGTACTGGGGGGGCCTGGGGAGGCAAAGCGGCCAGACTCGGAGCGCAGAGCACGGGCCTTTCAGATCCCGAATCAGAGGCATTTGTCAAGTTGGCTCTGGGACCCAGGCGAAGAAGCTGCAGTTGCCTAGCGGGATAATCCCAACTGCCCTGTGCAGGAGGGACGCCTCTTGTTCCCCCAGGGCCTCCCCGGTGCAGGCCCTCTCAGGGAAACCGAGGTCTTTCAGCAGGTCCCAAACCCGACGAGCTCATGGGTGGGAGAGCTCAGGAAGCCCCGCAGCAGCTGCTGAGCGCGGGCCGCTGCTGTTCCACCTTCTGCCTTTCAGGGCGCCCATCCACCCTACCCTGGGCTGTGACCTCTGCCCCCTCGGCTACCTGGGCCCTCCAACCCGCTCCCCTCCACCCCCTCCTTTCCATACCCGCGGGAAACGTCCCTGGTGGGGTCTGAAATCTGGCTCCTGGCCACAGCGGCCTCGCCCCAGGACCGCCCTTTGACATAAGCAGCAGCCCTGAACCCTGGCGGGTCTATTGTCACTGGTGGGAGGGAAGGGGGTGGGCGGGGCAGGGTAGGCTGACCCCAGCGATCCCCCCACATCTCGGGTGGTGCAGGTGGACGCTGGCCTAGTTGTTCAAAGCACACAAGGCCAGCTATGGTGTTCCATATCCCGCCAGCCCCAGCCAATCGATACCTCATCCCCACCTAGGCCACCCCAGCCCCTGCAGGGTCCCCACAGTGGGGGAAGGGGGTGGGCAGGGAGCTGAAATTAAAGGCTGGCACAAACCTGTGGGAAGTGTGTGTGCCCCTGCAGGGCCAGGGACCTTGGCTCGCCCAACCTGTCTGTGGCTCCAGGTGGTAGGACACTCCCTAAAGACCAGCCAACAGCTTGGGGGTGTTAGGGGCCTGCCCGGTGGCGCTCAAGATGGCAATCTCTGTTGGACTTCTGGCCCTGCCAGCAGCTGGGATTCAGCTGCAGGCTCTCCAATGTTATGAGTGCCCTCCCCACAGCAATTCTTTGGACACCTGGGTGCCACCCCTCCCTCCAACACCCTGCCCCGCCCCCCAACCTCACCCAGCAGCCAACCCAGACCGACTGAAAGTTCAAAGATCAGATTGAGAACCTTTAGATACTGGGGCACAGATCCCAAGATTTCCCCATCCACACCCCATACCTGCTATCCCTGGAGGCCCCAAGGATTGTGCCAGAGCCCTCTCCTGGGCAAACCAGCCCAAACCTTCCACAAAGGCCCTCCGGAACCCCGCTGGGCTCAGGAGCTGCTGGGATGGGTGTCTCTGGGGCCCAGCTGCCCTCCTCCACAAAGACCCTGCAAAAGCAGGGTCTAGAAGTCCTGGGTGCCTACCTCTACGTGCTGAGCTTCCTCTTCATGGGTGAGAGGAGGCAGAGACATGGGTGGCCAGTTCTCTGAAGGGAGAAGGGGCTGGAGAGAGAGAGGTTGGGCTCCCCGTTGCCTGGATTTGGGGTGTGGGGGGTGGAGGGCCAGAGTTCGGCAGGTAGATGGCTGGATGTTGGGTAGAAGGAGCCACTGGGTGGAAGAGGTTCCGAAGAAAATTAGTTTTGTTTCTCATATTTCTCCCAGGCCCTTTCTTTTCCCTTCTTGTCTTCTCCCTCCTTTTCACATCGCTCTGGTCACTTTCTGTCCTCTATTTGACGTGGCTCTTCCTGGACTGGGACACGCCCAACCAAGGTAAGCTCCGGGGAGGGGTGCAGGGAGGAAGATGTGCTGGTGCTTCCAGAGTCCTCCCCCATTTTCTCTCTGTTCAAAGGTGGAAGGCGATTCCAGTGGGTGCAAAGATGGACCATTTGGAAACATCTAAGGGATTATTTTCCTATCAAGGTGACAAGTTGCCCTCCAGAGAGACTCTCTGCTCCTTCCTCTCCCCCACCTCCCGCACCTCCTCACCCCTTCCTATGCTGCAGCCTGAGCGCCAACTGCTTAAGCTCAGGGAGCGGGGTAGGGAAGGAGTGGGTCTGAGATTGGGGCCCTATGCTGTGACCCCTCCGAGGCCTTGACTCTGAAGTCTGTCCGGGTGGAAGGCAACTCTTTTCAGCTGGCATCTTCCCTTTTATGTCTCCCTCCCCTCAATACGTCCAACACCCCAAAGTTGGTGAAAACAGCAGAGTTGCCCCCCGACCAGAACTACGTGCTGGGTGCTCACCCACATGGGGTCATGGGCACTGGAATCGCCAGTAATTTCTCCACCGAGAGCAATGACTTCTCTGGGCTGTTCCCCGGGCTTCGGTGCACCACAGCCATCCTGGCCGGTCTCTTCTACCTCCCAGTCTATCGCGAATACCTCATGTCCTTGGGTGAGTGGGAGGAAGTACTCGCCAAGCGGAGGGTCACCCAGCTAGCCTAGGGACCAGGTCTGACATGGGTGTCAGGGAATAACCTGGAGTAAGTGCTTGCATCCTTGAGAGGCACTGCAGGGCACTCTGGCATGGGCAGGGCAGGGTGGAGTGTTCTGGAAGGAATGTGATGTAGGGTGAGGAGCTAGAGTGCCCAGGAGGGGGTGGTGACTGCTCCCCACCTCCTCATTCCCATAGGATTGTGTTCCGTGAACCGCCAGAACCTGGACTTTATTCTGTCTGGACCCCAGCGTGGGCAGGCTGTGGTCATCCTGGTGGGGGGTGCCAATGAGTCTCTATATGCGGCCCCAGGGGAGCACTGCCTCACACTCCGGAAGCGCAAAGGCTTTGTGCATGTGGCCCTGACTCACGGGTGAGTGGGCACAGATGCCAAGAGCCAGGGCTGCTTCTGAAGACCAGAATATCACATGCATCTGGGGGGCCACACTCCCTCCCTAGACATCCAGGCCCCTGTAGGTGGGACTGTGTCCCCAGAGTCCTGCATCTAGAAAGTGCTAACTCAGTATTGAGAGCAGGACCCAGCCAAGCACTGGGCCCTCTTCTGCTGTGCTTCCTCCCGCCCTGAGAGAGGCAGACTAGCTGTACAAAAGCAGGACTCTCGGCTCAGAAACCTGGGGCTCCAATCTCTTTCTGATACCATCTCAAAGGGACAACCTGGACATATGTCTTTGCCTATGAAACAGGATCAATACCTGCCTCACAGCTATGTTGAGGTGTAAGGCTGGATGCCACTCTGCACAGTCCTTTCTCAGGAATGTGTCCCTTCTTCCAGATTTTTCTTTGTAGCCACTGTCATTTGCTTCAAAAGGCCTTGGCAAATGGAGACATGAGGTATGGGGAGGGATTTGCAGCCCTCTGAGGCTTCATCTTGAGGCATTCTGGTGCTGGCTTGAACACCTCTTCTCTTCTGTCTACCCGCCCCCACCCCCCACCCCCCAGGGCTTCCCTGGTGCCTGTGTACTCCTTCGGGGAGAACGAGATCTTCAGACTGAAGACTTTTGCCACTGACTCCTGGCAGCGACTCTGCCAAACCACTTTCAAGGGGCTCTTCGGCTTTTCTCCCTGCATCTTCTGGGGCCGCGGCCTCTTCTCTGCTGACTCCTGGGGCCTGCTGCCCTTTGCCAGACCCCTCACCACTGTGGGTGAGTGTGCCCTCCAGGGAAGGAAGCTGCCATCAGTCTGCAAGCAGCAGAGACCTGGCGCCTCACCCATGTCGCCCCTCTCCCCACAGTGGGCCGCCCCATCCCCGTGCCCAAGCGATTTAAGCCCAGCAAGGAGGAGGTCGACCACTACCACATGCTCTACATGGAGGCTCTGGAGCAACTCTTTGAGGAGCACAAGGAGAGCTGTGGAGTCCCTGCTTCTACTCACCTCACTTTCATCTAGCCCTGCCCTTCCCCCCGCCCCAGGCCCACTCCGCAGCCCCAGGCCCCTGAACCAGCGTGCTGAGACCCTCACCCACTGCTGTGCAGTGTTCTTCCAATAAAAGCTGGTTTTCTCCCACCGCTCCTGGGTAGAACTGGAGGCCTGCACAGCTCATGCTCTGCTCTGGGAGGTAGCGTGCCCAAGAGAAACCTCCCCCCCGGAACTGGAGTTGCTGCCTTAGATGGAGGATTGGGACCCTGAATTCTCCTTGCAGTGAAACTTGATCTGGCTGCATGATCCTGCCCAAGTCTCTTCCCTTTGCTGGGTCCCTCCTCCTCTGTGAAAAATGCATCTGCTTGGCTCACACTGTGGGCTGGCTGGCACCGAAGTTGAGTGGGGAGTTGAGTGGGGATGAGGGCGCCAGCACCCGGAGAGGCAGGCTTTGGGGTGTGAGCAGGCTTTGGCAGGTGGAGAAGATTTAGGTAGCTGGATGGTGCTCCATTGTGAGCAAAAGCTGAGTTTGGGGGTACCAGTAAGGAGCATAGACTGATCCTCATGGTAGAAACGATGGAGTTAGCACACAGTTTGCTCTGCATCACCCCCTCGGCCTCTCTGTGTCCTTGGGCTGGGAGAGCAGATGGAGCCGTGAGTCACATTACCAGCTTTTAGCGCTACTGCAAGCCCAGTATTAGGTCGCCATGAACTCAGTTGCTCAGTAAGCACAGCAGTGTTGTGAAGGCCAAAGAATAAGACTGAAGGGCTTTAGAACAATAATTGGCAATATATAGGCCAATGAGAAGTGGCTGTCATCACCACAGTTGTCCCAGGCGTGGTGTGGGCAAATAAGGGGGTACAACGAAGCTCTAGGGGTCCTCGTGTGGTCAGGGCATCCTCTGATTCTACCTGTCTTATCCGCTGACTGACTCTGTATCTATACCCAGGACTTAAACAAGAATAACTTGTTAGAGTGTAACTGGAAAGCAACTATATTTGTCTTCCACTGTCCTATAAAATGTATTCAGAGGAACAATTTTCCCTTGGCCCTGGATGAAAATCTGGGCAGTCCCATGATTTATCTGGGTCATTCTCAGGGAAGAGTTCTACATTCACTTTACGCTGGGACACAAAAGCCTTTCGTTCCTATACTAATTGACACTTTGATCTTCACCCAAGGGCTGGAGTTCCCTCTCCAGCAAGGGTCAGCCATGGCAGGCGGCCTGCTTGCTCAGAAGCGGCCGCTGGGGAAGGTGGGGTAGAAAGGGATGGGCTTCTTGCCTCCCCCTCCCCTGCTAGCTGCTTTCACCAAACACTTTGGGATTGGAATGTGGGGCAGAGGAAGGAAAAGGAGGCCCCAAAGCTCCCGAGGGCTGTCATAAGACAGCTTTGCGATTTGGGTGCTCTGATCTTTGAAGCCGATGCCTTCTCGAGGATTACTTGGAGTTTTCCCTTTAAGTTCCTCTGGCAGTTTCTTGTTTTCTCTGTCCCTGTATTCAACATAGATTCCAGGCTGGAGGAAGGAAGAGGGGTTGTGCCTCCTTGGCCCGGATGCCTGAGTGTGCAGGCTGGCCCCTGTGCTGCCCCTGGTTGCTGGATTTCCCCAGTGGGCACATCTCCCAAATGCTGGGGACATGCCAATCTCCTTGAGTCTTGAAGCCTTTGCCATTAACCTTGTTGAGGTAACACCACCCCCAACCCAGGCAATCTCTGCTGCCGTACTGGCCTCGTTGAGGGCTCCCATTTTCCTCCTGTCACCTGGCTTTCTAGACCGTCTTCATCAGGCTCCCTTCTTGAGAGGAACTGGTCTAAGGGGCCAGAGTCTCACATGAGAAGAGTGAAGAGTCCAGGCTCGACGTGTGGGTCACACCTCCCACCAGTCTGTGCTGACCCAGACTACCATTTTCTGTGTGACAGATACAGACCCTAGACTGAGAGGCCCGTGAGCTCCTCAGATAGGCCGTGTGAAGAGGACAGCGGGAATGACGTCCACACCCACCCACCCACTGTTTCCCAGACAATGTCACCTTGGCCTTTTAGCTGAGTTTGCTGCAGGGGTCAGGCCAGCCCCTGAGCAACGTTGTAGGCCTTCGGAAGAATCACAACTCTAAACAGGATACACTGTTGCCCAGGACCCAGAGAGAGGGCCTGTCCCTTCTGGTTCTGGCTGCTGGCACATTTCCTAAGTCCTTAAGGAGAAATGTGATGCATGGTCCTCCTGGTGCTGTGACAACGGTCATGTATCAGGGACAGAAATAGGAGAGTGAGTTGGAAGGTGCATATTTCAAGGTGGGGGATTAACGCAGAAGCTGAGTTTGAGGGTCAGAGGGCTATGGGCCATACAGCACCGTGGGGAAGCAGCAGGAGCAGGAGTAGAGCCCACTGTGAGTCATGGTGAGGGACACGTCCCAACTCTGATTTTGAATCCCAACTACTGACGACTGTGACATTGGCCAAGTCACTTTTCAAGCCTGTTTCCCCTTGTAACATGGGGCCACCTACGGCATAGGTATTTTTCAAATTTTTATGAAAACATAGCACAAATGTGCAGGTTACAATGGCACAGCTGGAATTTTCCCCTACTGAACATACACAGGGTTATTCTGAGACGCAAATAAGGGGCTCGTAGGACAGATGCGCAGATGTCTTTGTATTTAGGTGAAATAAGGCTGCCATCCAACGAAGTCCTGCCACTCCCTACCCTTGGATTTCTCTCCTGAGTGTGTGCCCCCTCACTCATGATGGAACTGGAAGGAGACTCTGGAAGTTTCTTTGGAGAAAGGGAAGATAGGTCAGACCTGGAGAGCAGGCTGGTGTCCATGCAATCACTGACCACTGGATTTCTCAGTGGGCACATCCTCCAAATGCTGTGGACATGCTAGTGACCACTTTCCACAGAGTCAAATAGTGGTCTGAAAATATTAAGTACAATGAGATAGTTTGAGAGAGACCACATTCACTTAAGTCTTATTACTGTAATTGTTAAATTGGTCTATTTTATTGTAGTGTTGTTGGTTTCTTACTATGCCTAATTTATAAATTAAACTTTATAATTGGTATGTATGGATGGGGGAAAACATAGTGTATACAGGGTTCAGAAGTGTTTGCAGTTTCAGAAACCCACTGGGGTTTTGGAAAGTATCCCCTGAGAACAAGCCCCGGGGGAAGAGGGGGTATATTGTGTTTTCATAAGTTCACACCCTCCAGTACTAGGGATGAGGCCTCAACATACTATTTGGACAGAAGATAACTATACCCACAACAGGGGCTTTTTCTAACTCACAAAGGTACTGGTTGCATCCAGAGGTGGTCTTTGTGCAGATTAGAAAAAGAATCTCAGTATTGGGTGGTGGCAAGCACTGGCCAGGGAACCTTCTCTTTGAGGAATTGCCTGCACAGGTGCACAGGGAGAAGTGGGGTGGCTCAATTATCTGAAGGTTTGTTCTATGTGTTTTTTTTTTTTTTTTTGTGGGACCCTCGCCGGTGGCCGGGGATCAAACTGGCGCTGCAGAGGCTGCGGGCAGCCTCGCAACCCAGCGCTCAACTGCCATGCCACCAGGGAAGGCCCTCTGTTCTATTTTCAAGAGGCCTGGATCACTCAGTACAAAGCCGTGAAAGAACTTCCCTGTACCACCTCTCCTCCCGTGTAGCTTATTGCCCCAGCATCGTGTCATTTTCCTCACCATCTGGAAGAGTATGAATTGCAAACGTACACTCTAAAGAAGCTCCTCAGAGCTCCCTGGCCACCACCTGCAGGGCTCCTTCCCTCCCTGCCATCCTACATGTGGCCACCAGAGGGCGGCCTCTACTCTCAAGGCAAATCTCACGCTGAAAACCCTCCAGGGCTTTGGAGGCCCCTAAGAACAGGATGGGTGCAAAGTGCAGCCCCACCCTAACGCAGGCAACCTAGAACTGCTTGTTCTTGCAAAATAGGCTCTATCTCAGCTCTGGGCTTTGCTCAGACTGTTCCCTCCCCACCGGAGGGACCCTGCCCTGCTTTATCATCTTAAGGGGGGATTTTTCGAACTCAGTTCAGATTCCACTTTCAGGACACCTCCTTTGATATCCCAACCTGTCAGACTGACTCAGGGCATTCCCTCCTCTGCATCCCATGGCTCTTTCAGAGCTTTACCATGACGCATCTGGGTTGCTTTAAAACACCAGTTTATCCAAAGCCCTGGATAACTTGGGCGAGGAGGGCAGCAACTGCATTGGATTGCACCAGCCTGAACACGGGTGTGAGCAGGAGTTCATAATGTTGCTAAAAATAGTCATTGATCCGCACTGAAGGATACTAGGGAACCAGCTCCTTGGCTTGCTTTTGTTTTTACTCATTAGATTACAGATTTATTACAAAGGATTCTTAAGGATAGGAATCAATAGTCAGTTGAACTGAGTTCGAAAAATCCCCCTTAAGATGACAAAGCCAGGGATGTGAGGGCGATCTGGCTGCGACATCTGTCACCCCATTGATTGCCAGGGTTGATTCGGCTGATCTGGCTGGCTAGGCGGGTGTCTCTTCCTCCCTCACCGCTCCATGTGCGTCCTTCCCGAAGCTGTGCTCGGAAGAGGATGGCTTTCCCCAAATAGAGACAGACCGGTCTTTGGTCAAGGGTATACAAGTAGCTGGGCTCCCCTGCTAGAACCTCCAAACAAGCTCTCAAGATGATAAAGCCGGGCAGGGTCCCTCTGGTGGGGAGGGAACAGTCTGAGCAAAGCCCAGAGCTGAGATAGAGCCTATTTTGCTGACTATTGATTCCTATCCTTAAGAATCCTTTGTAATAAATCTGTAATCTAGTGAGTAACTGAGTAGAGCTGCATAGAGCTAAACATGGGGGGCTAGCGGGGGTGCCATTCCCCCCCCACACACACACAAATCTTCATTCTTATCCACCCAGATGCTCCAACTGGTTATTTTGAAAATTGACAAATAAAGAAGAAATTTTGGAGCATTTTAATCCTGCTGTTCCTTCACAGAGTATGTCTTAGGTTAGAGAGTTTCCTGTAATAGGCATATTTCAGCTAGT